AAGTGCCAACATCCATGGGGAAATCCAGGTTCAATTGGGAATTGGTACAGAAAAGTTCACTCATACTGTTATTGTCGCTGATATTGAAGAAGATATGATTCTTGGAATGGATGTAATGAACTTACATGGTTTCCAGTTGGACTTTAAAAACAGAGTGATCAAACTTGGTGCCGAAGAGGTATTCCTACATCCATATGGGGACAGTACCGTGCCAGTTGCTGTACAGAAGGATACGGTGGTACCTGGCAGAAGTGAAACCGTTATAGTAGCACGGCTTCAAGAAACTATGGAAGAAGGAACACCTGTCATGATGGAACCTTGGAACCACGATGAAGAGGTTGGACGAGGCATTCTCATCGGAAAGGGGTTGGTCACGACTGCAAAAGAAATTCCAGTTCGTCTCATAAACGTTAATGATCACCCGATTGCCATCAAGAAAGAGACCAGAATCGGAACTTGTGTACCAGTAACGTCCATAATTCGTCAGACAACAACTTCTGATAATTCCAACGACAAATTCGAGCAAATGATTGCAGTTGCTGGTCAATCTCTGAATCAATCAGAGAAGAAGAAAATAAAGGAATTTCTTCGACGATATCGTGACATTTTTGTACCAAAAGGAGGAAAAACAGGAAGAACTTCTGTTGTAAAACACAAAATTGACACTGGTGACGCCAGGCCGATTCGTCAATCAGCTCGAAGGTTACCAAAGGCCAAGAGAGAGGAAGCTGAAAGGATTGTTCAGGAAATGAAGGAAGACAGGGTGATAGAACCTTCTACCAGCCCATGGGTCTCTCCGGTAGTCCTGGTCCAGAAAAAGGATGGAACTACGAGGTTTTGTGTGGATTACCGTCAGTTGAACAATGTTACCAAGAAAGACAGTTACCCTCTGCCTCGTATCGACGATACCTTGGACACATTGGCCGAAAGTAAACTATTCTCTACCTTAGACTTGAAATCTGGATACTGGCAGGTGGAAATGGACCCAGTAGACAAAGAAAAGACTGCTTTTACCACCGGATCTGGATTGTGGCAATTCAATGTTATGCCATTTGGATTATGTAATGCCCCCGCGACATTTGAAAGACTTATGGAAAACGTATTGAGAGGGTTATCCTGGAGAACATGCCTGGTTTATTTAGACGACATAATAGTCTTGGGGAAAACATTTGATGAACATCTAAAGAACTTAGAAGATGTTTTTAAAAGACTTCAAGCTGCCCAACTGATGCTAAACCCCAAGAAGTGTCAAATGTTTCAAAATAAAGTTAATTACCTGGGTCATGTAGTCAGCAAGGATGGCGTGGCTGTAGATAAGGAAAAAGTCGCTTCTATCAAAGAGTAGCCGAAGTACTTCGTCAGTTACACGACAGTCCATCAGGAGGACATCTCGGTGTTAGGAAAACAGTTCCGATGATGTAAAGGACTGGTGTAAGAAATGTACCACCTGTGCTATAAGTAATGGACCTCAACGAAAAAGGAAGGCACCCATGAAGCAATACAACGTTGGTAGCCCATTTGAGAGGATCGCCTTAGATATTGCTGGACCATTCCCTATGACCGAGAATGGTAATAAATACATGATGGTGGTTATGGATTATTTCACGAAGTGGGTGGAAGTCTATGCCATTCCAAATCAAGAGGCCGCAACTGTTGCAGATGTGTTGATTAAAGAATTTATCTGTCGATTTGGAGTGCCCTTGGAGATCCACAGTGACCAAGGCAGAAATTTTGAAAGCCAACTCTTCCGTGGAATCTGTGACAGGCTAGGCATGAAGAAAACCCAAACCACTGCATTGCACCCACAATCTGATGGAATGGTAGAGCGAATGAATAAAACCATTGGAAAATATCTGTCAAAAGTGGTTTCAAACCATCAGCGAGATTGGGATCAATATCTTTCGCTCTTTGCAATGGCTTATAGATCCGCTGTCAATGAATCAACAGGGCAAACACCAGCAAAGGTCCTGTTTGGGCGTGAGATGAGACTACCTTGCGACCTTGAGTTTGGATGCCGACCTGGAGAAGATGTAGCTGGTGAAGACTACGTGATCCAGTTACGAAGAAGAATGGACGATATGCATGAATTGGTCCGCTGGCATCTTCAAATCGCTAGCGACAGAATGAAGAAGCGATATGACACCCAAGCCATGGAGGGAGGTTTCCAGGAAGGCGACAAAGTCTGGCTCCATAACCCAAAAAGACAAAAGGGCTATTCTCCGAAACTTCAAAGGTTTTGGGAAGGTCCGTATCTCATCAAGAAAAGAATCAATGATGTCATTTACCGTATAAGTAAGATCCCGAACGGTAAACCAAGGGTAGTGCACCAAAACCGGCTGGCGCCATTTGAGGGTGACCATGAAGAGGAAGAAGTAAACCAGCTCCAAGAAACACCTGACCTTGTCTTTGAAGAATTTATGGGTGCATATGGAGGTACCAGAAAAGCAAGACATGGTGTTACAACTGAGCAACAAGGCCTGCTCACGGTTCCAAAAGACTACTCGCTGGTCCATAGCACTTCAAGATACTCAGGTTGAAATACTGGTCTGCAGCCATTCTCCTAGCGTTCAGGTTATAACGAAGACTGTGCCTTGTTACTTCCATGCAACTGGAAATTGTAAAAGAGGATCCAGTTGCAAATACAACCATTCAATTTTAGTTCCAGGAGGAACTATTTCTTAAGGAGGGGGCAATGTCATGCATTCCTAAGCCGACTCTGTATACGCACGCAATCGTGACCGAAGCAACGCTGACGGGTGGAAACAGCCGGACCGCTCTAGAATGTCTGCCGCTGACTCTCGAAACATCGGGAATGGCGGGGAGTGCCGTTTAGTCATCTTCGCGAAGTCTCTGGCATTTTCCAGTAGCGGAGTTGGATTTATATAAATAGTTGACGTATCAGCGCCGAGTTTAGTTTTATATAGAACGTTGTATTGGAAAGTAAAAGTGTAATAAATAAATTAGAATTGTTAGTTAGTGTTCGAATATTATATAAATTAAATAGTACGTCTGAAATAAATTGTAAATAGTGTTTTTGAATAAATAAACTTTAAATAAATTAGACTTTCGTCATATTAATAATTTCAAACATTTTTCTTATTTAATTGTATTTTAAGTTCCACACATTTTTCTTGTTTTTGCATTTTAAACATAACGGATTTTAGGACCTAAATTGATTTCAGTTTAGATTAAATACAGGGTTAACATTATTTAATCATAAATTAATTATATATTAAATTTCTTATTTTTTTTATATTGTACATGATGGATACCTTTTGATTATTTTAAGTTTATATTTAAGTTGAGGTTAAGTTGAGTAGCGCAAGCTAGACTTCGCCTCATGATGTTTATGTGCATTGTATATTACAAGCAAATAAAGGCATTTTGTTATTATTATTATTATCATCATCATCATCATCATCATCATCATCATCATCATCATCATTTATATCATTGAAAAGCTAGTAAAAATTAAAAACCCCCTTAAAAAGAAGATGTCATGTTTATCAGAATGTATTTATTTCACTTGACTACCCACAATTAAAATACAAAATGAAAAAAAAGTAATAAAAATTTCTTAATCCATAATTTAAAAATAAATTAAATTTTATTGTAATTATTTTTTTAGCTAATTCGAGACGGCGACTCGTCTGTAATTTTTGACACATGTGTGACACATTAAAAATATCCTATGTTATTAAACAAAACGAAAATTTATTTTGTAATTCCCTAAACTTAAATAAGTATATAAATAATATAGGAAATGCAAATAAAGTAGCTTACATTTAAAATATAGAAATAAAACAATGTTGGTTAATAAGCAAAACACTTTTACATTTTCTGTAGGTACTTGTTTTTGTCACATATAAGAGATACATATTAAATCAGTACTTATATTTTTAAATATTTATTTTGCCAAGAAGTATAAAATAAATTTTAAATAAAAGTCTTTTTATTATGAAATTAGCCCCAAAAAAGACAAATTCCACTGTCTCTAACACTTGATACTATTCTATTGTATTGAAAATACATATTTACGTAGATTTTTTATTTCTTTTTGATATTTTTATAGTTTGATCAAATTAACTTTTGCTAAAGAAAAATGAAATAGACATATTGCCATATAAAAAAAAACAAAGATATATTTTCAATAACATTAAAAGAAATCATTAAAAAGGCCTTTTCTGATTAGTTCGCAAGCTTATTTACAATTATTATAGTTAATCTAACAGTTTTAAAGTAAATTGTTAAAAATAAATTTGGATACGCCTATGTGATGAATCTGTGATAAACAAGTTTTTGAGTTAAATCTGTAAAATAATGAATGAAAAACCAGATTTACTACGAATATCGATTTTATTACTGTGCGGTAGTTAAATTGCACATCTCATATGAGAACGAATGCATTACTATACTGTTAAGAACTCCATAAACTTAGCTACACTATTCAATCAGAATATTGCATTTCTCCCAAGGACGCTTATATTGTAAATACATGTTGGCTTCAGAAATTTTGTAAACAATCCTATCTGTCTTGGTTATAAATTTATGGGTAGAACTTTCTATTGCAGGATCTCCTAAGATACTCTAAGTTGTTTAGCAAGTGATTTAAAATTAGTGTTATTATAAGAACTAGAAAATTGGTTAAGAGCAAACCGAACACCTTGAAAATTTATAATTCCTTCTGATCCTTTATATTTAGTCAGTAAATACCAATAATAACAAAACTTAGGTTGGAGAAACCTTGAATTTTTTGTAAACCTTCAAAAAGTATTTTGAAAAATTTTTAAAGGAATAAAAAAAAACATTTATGCATCATTCTGTATTAAATCTATGAATATTTGCTGCTTTTTGTTTTAATAAATATCTAGTAGTTTTTAAATAGGAGGATTTCCCACCTTTTTTTCTTAAACATTGTCATTACAAAAGCAACAACAGTCAAAAAACTGCATTTGATAATTTATTGTAATAATTAATCTAACTAATAAATAATTTATAACCTGGCTTCTTCCTCAAGTCTTCTTCTTCTTGCAACCTTAAGCGTAAGAGGTACATCATCTAGAGAAAAATCATTGGGTCTTTTGTTTTCATTTTCATCAGGATAAGTTTGAAGTAACACTACGCATTCCAAAAATTTAACAGAACTCGTTCTTATACCATCATTATCACTAAAAAATAATAAATATCTCTATGATTGAAACCTCTTGATTATAAATAAGTTTAATATATTTACCTATCTATCATGTTGGCAATTTCTAACTTTACAGCATTAAGTTGTTTCCAAGCATCCTCCATTTCTTGAGTGGTAGTAGAAGCTTTGCAAAGCCATGCTAAAGTTCTTCTATATATCGTGATTGTGGCTTGAATTACACGTTTTTGTACAGGAATTGATTCATCACAAAGTAGCATGTGAAGGCTAAGAGTCACTTTTGGAATAAAATTTTCTCTAACTTTGCTACAAAATAAATAGGAATGCTTTTTTAATGCATGAAAAATAACACCCTTAAGCACTATGATACCAACAATATGGTGTCATTACCACTACATAAATTAAATTGTACTGGTATGATAAACTTTTAACCTAAATTACTTACATTAATTCTTCTATGAACCCCACCAGAGCTTTTTTAATATCAGCACTTGTGTCTGTTGTAAAATTCAAAACATTCTGTATATATTTTGATATTAAATTTGGCGATTTTCTAAGTAATATTTCTTGTATTTTATAAAAGTTTGCTAATTTATCCGAAGAATTGGTTTCAAAAAGGCAGTTATTGAGACATTTTGTTACCTAAAATTGATTATAAACAGTGAATATGTGGTAAAGTAGAAGTAATTGTAGGTTATACCAATTCGTCGTCGGTTAAATCCAATTCGTAGTCCATTTTGGTAATTTTATTTATAGGTGACGGTTGTTAAGAATTATTTCTTAGTTAAATTTCGTTGTATTTGTTACATTCGCATTATATTACTTCAAAAGAATACTTTCAAAACTTCGGAAACCCATCGAAAGACGAAAACTCCAAAACATAACATAACCTACACCTTCTTCTTCTCTTTTAGTGGATGTGTCGTAGGATGACATTATTGAACAGGATAGCCAATCTGTTGTTTTGTGAAGTGCACAATTGCCAAATGTTGATTTGTGACGTCACCACACCTTTAGATCCATATGTAAGAAAACAGAATAATGTTTTCAACAATAATCTATTTCCAAAATTAAACACAAGTAAAATTTAAATTAAATATGACTCTTATGTAGAGTTGCCAGATGCCACGCTTTATAGGCGTAATTGCCACGATTTTTCACTTGCTGTCATGCGGCACACCAAATGCCACGCTTTTTAGCCTTCGAGCATCGAGTTTTTACCTAAATGCCACGCTTGTTACCAAAATGCCACGTTTGTTACCTAAATGCCACGCTTGTTACCTAAATGCCACGCTTGTTACCTAAATACCAGGCTTTTTACTAAATTGCCACGGTTTTTACTCAAAACTTATAAATAATGAATTTATTACTTTTACAGGACATGTTTTATAAAAATACCTAAGCGGAAGACCTGTTTTTAGATTTCCACAAAAAAAATATGTTTTTATAAAAGTACCTGTTTTTTTTATCTGATCCCCTGTTGTCATCGGGGCCACGCTTTTCCCTTTCGTAAATACGGCAACCCTATCCTTATATGGTTAATAAATAAGATATTTTCAAGCCTCTCGTCGTCGCCCCGTTGAAAGACAAGGGCATGGGTGTGTTCCAGATGCTTCAGCTAAATATCAATGACAACGACCAAATGCTATCGTATTTGTAATTCTTACATATATTCTAGATAGATATGTGTTCTGTGGATCTATTTTATACATATTGATTATAATTAAAAATAAAGATTATTGGACTCTAAAAATTATTCTTTTAGTCTTGGAATATTAAGTTCGATAAATATATATAAAATAAAATAATAAACAAGAATCCAGTGGAGTTTTCATTTTAGTTTTAATGTTATATCACCCTTTTTAAGGATAATATGAAACTCGTTAAAGCAGTTGATCGCTATGTATAGTTGACGAAGTACTCCAGAGTATACGCTAAATTAGTGATAACATAATTTTTGTTTCATTGACAATTACAGTAACAGTATTTTTTTTTAATCTCGTTTTGTTCACCTAAATTATATTGTTTTTGAACTGCTTTGTTATGACTTGCACAATTATTAGTCAATGCTCCTTAAATGTAAAGAAGCTCTGCGTTCAATGAGTGTATCGAATTCTTGCTACGATTAGGGTAGCAGGATCAGCACGCTTCATACGTTCAATTTAAATAAATTAAATTTGTGTCGAAAATCAATTCTAGTTTAATGAAACGTACCATTTGCAATTGAAAGTGAACTTGTTTATTTGTCACTTGCAGTTTTGACCAACAATCCACAATAATTTTTATATGTAGGTATTTATTTAATAATTTTTCTCACTATGTAAAGCACAACCAGGTTGTTAGAGATATATTTTTCAAGCAATCGCAAATAGCGATAAATTTTAGGAGTTTTACGTTATTTGTGGTTGTTTTTATGAGCTTTCACGCTCAAATTTCGCGATCGCAGCAGAAAGGAGCGTATAAATGAAACGCTCCAAAATTATACGGATCGATACAAAGCGATACCTATCGTAGAACGAATGTGATTTGTATATCGGTTGGGATCGCTATGTCTCATTGAACACCACTTTTTTGTTGAACCATTGGAATTTATTTTGACTTATATTCTCGTAAATGGGTTTATTCTATGATTCATTACATTCGTCTTGCGCCGTTTTATTCTTGGTTTTATGATAATCCAGTCTGTTCTGTTAATCTGAATAGATAAACCGCTTTCCCTATCCATTATGGTCAGGATTATGTACTGTGATACCATATACGAGTCAATGGTGATACATTTGATTGTGTAATTCCAGCAACACAATAGGAATTACTAAACCACATTGAATAAATCTAAATTGACATTCAAAATTAAACGTAACTAACAAAAAGTAGAAATATAATTTCTACTGAGATTTTTTTAATGACATTATAACCTGGTTATCTCTGATTATAACTCATCGCTAGTCGCAGCCACACACTTGTGGTTTTATCAATATGATGTTACAATGAATTTCAAGAAAAGATTGGATATCGGCTGCCCAAATAAATCTCCCACTATGCAAAATTTCCCTTTCTCAGGAATATTGCGTGCGGCGATAATTAAATTTTGAATCATTTCAATACTAATTTTATACAGGATATCACACGTTCAAAATAATTTTAAAATGTTACACACTGAAGAGATAATTCAACTCCCTTTTAAACAAGATGCCACATATGACCCCCTTTCTTATTTAAAACTTTCGAGGGGTGCTTTATATTTCATAGTGGGTGCAAGGAGGGGATGAATATTTTCATACTATAAATTGTCAAATTGACCTGTTTCAGGTTTTTGCCCAAAAGTACATAATAACGTTAAATATGAATTTATTCCAAACATTATTAGTTTGATATGAATTAAATATTGCTACTGTTGTATTTATACATTTATTGGACCATATACTTTTAAACGTTTAGGACATAATATAGTGAGAGAAAAAAAATTAATCAAAACTACTTACTTGGTACACAATAGGAGACCTCGGATTTTCTTTTACGGTTCATGAAGACAGTAAAATTATGTCACACGTCACATATGATAACAAAGGCGTTAATTCTAAGCACTTTCTACTCCGAACGCAGTTTTTCAATGATAAGTCAACTTTTTTAAATGGGTACAATATGGGCCATTTATATAATTTGCTATTAGCATATTGAATTATCAGAAACAGAAATATTTAAAACAGTTTCAGTTTTTTAATTTGATATAAAGAACTAAATAAATATTAATACTGGTTTCTACTTTTTTGTCTAATGAATAAATTCATTTATTTTGTTTTTTTACTTCAAAGCTCTGAACGGACTGCCACAGAGTATATTATTTGAATCGTAGGATAAACTCCATGTGGAAGTAGTAAAATGTACTCCCTACTTGAAAGGTATAATAGCTAGGTCAATTAATGTACAATTTTGAACAGTAATAATTTATTACAATAACTAATAAATAAAACAGGATTATTTACACATTTTATCCTAATTTACTTTAAAAAATGTTTGTTTATCTTAACTACTTTTAAACGATTCCCATTTTATAGGACTTTCAGTAAATAAGTCATTTGTTGGCAATGTATCCAAAATGGTAACCTAAAAGAAATGGTTTTGATATAGTAATTGAATAATTTGTATTAGTCTAAGATCCGCACTTAAATCGACCTTCCCTCGTCCCTTTTCCCAATTAAACATTTTATACAATAGAATGTATAAATAAACACAGTATCCCATGTCCTGTCCAGGCTATTTTTAATTTAATTTGTATCGATAGTTACGATAATTCCTTTTAGCTATCTTTTTCCTTGCCAAAATATCGGGTTGTCAGGTATAAATACGAGGTGTGGCTATAAAATAACGAGACTATTGCTGTAAAACATTTTATTTTAAACTTATACATTTTTAGTTGTTATCACCTTCAACATACACTCCTTCTCTGTCCCTACAATGCTTCATGCAAATTTTCCATTGTCCAAACCAGTACTGGAAGTATTTTTCTGTGAGCTCTTTCGTGACTCGTGCCGATTTTTCTTTCATAGCTTCAACGGGCGGAAATATTGTTCACTTTAATGCAGATTTGACCTTGGGAACTAGATAGAAGTTTCATGGTACAAGGTCAGGCGAATAATCTAACACCGGGATGTTTTACTTGACTAGAAACGCCTTGACAGACAATGCAGAATGAGTTGGCGCATTGTCTTGATGGAACCTATGACTTGTTCTTCCACAATTCTGGTCTTTTTTTTCTTATTGTTTCTTTGTCAATATCTGCAGTTTCAGCAATCTCACGAATAGTTAACCGACGACGTTGGGATCGAATCATATTACCATTTTTTTTTTAAATTTTCATCCAGTTCATACACTTCTTTCAATAAAAGACGTTTCAGTAGCGCTTTTTAAAAGTTTCATATGAAAATTCACGACGATTCGTTGCTCTATTTATTACAGTTATCATTTTTCTGGTAACTGTAAAACGGCAAAACAAAAAAACAACTCTTATACAAATAAAGGCCACGGCCAGACTAATTTGTTTATGGACACGGGAGACACCGCATTCGAAAGAGAAGACTTCAAGCTACACAGTTGTTAGTTGTTCGCTTTTGGCGCTTGCGTACTTTTTCTCTGGGAACAACAAACTTGTTATTTTATAGCCACACCTCGATCGTAGATGTAATTCGGTTGTTAGTTCGATATCTTCCATATCACAAACGAATATATGGAAGGAAAAACTTTTCGGTATGTAAATAACTGAAGTACGAAAACTATAAACTTAGTGATCCGCATGAAATTGCAAATGCCATAGCGTCTTATTTCTATTCTAAAGATGACTTAAACCGAAAAATTGATCTTCCCGCTGTGACATTTCATTCCACTTTATTTAGCTGTACACACTTTCACTCCTTGTGAAGTATCTCCTAAAATAAAAAGTCTTGACTCTAGTAAAATTGCGGGCCCTGGTGGGGTATCACCGTCGTTATTGAAGGGGTGCTGTGACTCCTGGTCAATCCTACTTAGTCAAATTTTCCAAAAATCATTTGATAGTGGAATATTTCCATCTGCTTGCAAGTTTTCCCACCTTATGCCAGTTTACAAGAAAGGTAATAAAAGCGAAATAACGAATTATAGAGGTATTTCCATTATATCGATAATTCCACAACTATTTGAAACCATAATAACAGATGAAATGTTTTACATGTATAAAAACTATAGCTCACCTTAACAAAATGGCTTCTATTAAGGTCGCTCGACATCAACTAAACTGGCAATCTATGAAGACTTAATTTCTTCAATTGAAAATGGTTACCAGTTTGATACCATCTACACCGATCTGTCATGAATTGCTATTCAAGAAACTCTCCGAAATCGGTATCTCTGGTTCTTATTTTTACTGGATTAAATCTTCAAGGTTCAGATATAGGTCCCCTATTGTTTTCCTTATTCTTTAATGATGTTACGTCCTACTTTCTTAATAGCCAATAACTTCTCTTCGCGGATGATTTAAAGTTTTTTAGTAGAAACACTAACAGCCGTATGCACAGTCGATCGCCAGCGTTTTATCTCGGCAGTATCAGCGATTCGCTGGCGAAAGCCCGAAAAGGTGGTGACTGGCTGGAGATTGTCACCGGCATGTCATCTTTCACAAGTTTTCATGTTCTTTTATAGGGAAAAATTTGATATTCGTTCATTGTTTTTTGAGTTTTAAGAAATTAATTATGAATAACGTGCGAGAGATGCCGGTGACAATCTCCAGCAAGTCGCCACCTTTTCGGGCTTTCGCCAGCGGATCGCTGGTGATACGCCGAGATGAATCTCTGGCGATCGACTAGGCATATGGGTGTCTGCATTACAGTCTGACCTAAACAGGTTTGCTACCTGGTGTAAAAATAACACTCTTTCTATTTCTATTTCTAAGTGCACAACCATGCATTTTACAAGATAGTTATTGTTCTGGGCATTATCTTTGATACCACAATATATTTTAACAGCCATATAGATTCCATAGTATGCAAAGCCCTCAGAATGCTTAGATTCATCAAGAAACATACTAGGTACGTGAATGACACAAAAGCAATCATGACATGGTGAGAAGTGTCCTGGAATACTGTTCTGTTATTTGGCAACCTACTTACACCTGTCATATCAATAGAATTGAAAGGGTGCAATGTAAATTCGTAAAATACCTGCTCTTTAAACACCGATTTCATAGCCACAATACATATTATCAAATAAGATTATTGCTTTGTGGCATGCAGAGCCTGGAATGCAGAAGAAAACGGGCTTTACTCCTATTCCTGGCTAAATTAATAGGTGGTTCTATCAAGTGTGGGTCACTGCTTGGGAGAGTTCAACTATTAGTTCCTGCGCGACGGACTCAGCACACATCACTTTTGAATGTAAAAAGACACAGAACCAATTACGGACAAAGTGCATTTATTGATCGCTTATGCAAGAACTATAATAAATTTTACTCAGACTGTGATATATTTAATTGTAATATGTTGGCGCTAAAAAAGGACTTGCAACTTCTGAATGTGCTAGTTTTACTCGTATCGTCCCGCGTAGTTGTGTTACGCTTCCTTTTTTTTAATATTATATATATTTTTTAAAATTTATTTTATATTGTTTTTAACTCCTACAATTGTTTGTTAGGTTAGATTTACTGTACTATTTGGAATTTTACATTCTGTAAGTGTTACATAAATAAATAAAAATTGCCATGTCTGTGTAAAATTATTAAAAAAAAAACTTAACCAATTTACTAAACCTGTGCGGCCTGGAGCCATTTAAATTTAACCGATAGCTTTGTGCAAGTGAGGTAAATTAGTTATTTTTTTAATTTTCCCGTTTTAGGTTTTTTGCAAAGCAACCTGCGAAGGGTCCAGATAGGCAAGTTAGTCATGCTTTTTTAATCATTTTATGTAAAAAAAATCCCAATTTTGACTGACGCTATTTTAAAAAGCGCTAGTTCGTTCAGGCGCTGTTATGACTGAAGTTCTTTTATCAAACTCTGAATACATAAGAACACTTGATGCTATTATTTTTGAACCCCCAATGTGAAAATAAATTTAATAAAAAATTTACAAAAATCTGTCTACTGAGGGATTCGAACCCACTTATTCGTGTTCTATGCACACCGCTCTTACCAACTGAGCTTTCTGGTACAAGGTCACTGACTTTCCAATAAGATTTTGAATCCAACTTCTTTTACAGAAAATATTCAATTCTTCGAAAAACTACTGAACAACATTTTTATGAAAAAATATTTTGTATTTAAATTACTACATGGGAATTTGAATGAACAATATTCTTGAAATTATTTTATTTGAAATATCATTCCACAGGCAGCTAAAATTTCAATTAGACATTGTACATTTAAAAATGGTCTACTTTTCATTATTTCATAGCATTATGACATATGGGGTTATACTTTGGGGAAATACAAGCAACCAACTTAGGGTATTTATTCCACAAAAAAAAAAGTAGTACTTATCATGACATGCTACAATAGTAACTGCCAACCTATTTTTAAATAGTTAAGTATTTTATTTATTTATACGGAAACTCTATTTTTACAATTTTAGTAGAATAACAAAATATATCAAAATTTCATAAGTGATACTAACACAACAATATCACATTTATACCAAAACAACCTAATTTAATTTAGTTACATAATTTTGGAAATATTTACCACTACCATGTTGTTTTATTTTAGAGTGTCTTTTATACATGAAAAAACAAATTGGTAATAATAATGTTATAAGACAGAGCTCTAAACATTCTTATTGCATCAGAGGAAATGATGATATATCTTTACCTAATTACAGATTAACCAAACTTCATGATTCTTACAGATATATCAGCACTAAACTGTACAATTCCCTACCTCAAGCTTATAAAAACTCATATTTTAATTTATTTAAAATAAGAATTCACAAATTTTTATCGAATCACTGCTTTTATTCCATTGACGAATTCTTATCACATGTGAGTAATGTGTAAACCTTTTTGGTGAATATACCAATTTAATTTTTATCTTTTAAGTATGTTTTAATATGTTATATGTATCTATACCTATATATCTTTTTTTTATACTTTTAACATTGACATATGTAAAACATTTATTTTTATTTTACATCAATAAATATCTATATATCTATGGCATGCACTTGTGCATGCAGTGCTTCTCTGTGGCTCTTCACTTATTATCACACCAACCCTAAGATCGGCCAACTTTTGCCAAGCCAACCAACCCTACAACACTTGATAAAATTATCTACATTTTATATAATAGCCTGGACCAGATATGAGGTACCAAGCCTGGCACATTGTGTTTATTTATACACTGTATTGTAAAAATATATATTTAATTAAGAAAAAGGATGAGGGAAGATCGTTTTAAGTCGGGATCTTGTACTATATTTATTGAATGACAGATACCTGCTTCCTAATGTATTTCACTAATTTATCTAAATTATGGGGATCTACATGCTCCATTTTGTAAAATCTCCTCCATATGGCTCCTGCTAAAACAATATCATCAGACTGAATACCTTCATCATATGCAATAAAAGCTGCTTGCATCTGTTCAGACAATTCTACCACGTGTTCTCTTAAACGGGATGGTGAACCAGCCTAAAATATGTATTATTTATTTATTTATTTATCCTAATAAAAAAATTGAATCTGTTTACCCCTAATTTTTTGATCCTCTGAGCAACATCAGTCCACAAAGCCTCTATAATGGCATTTCTAAGAATTCTTCCATCATCTCCTTCAGCAACAGCCCTTAGAGACAACATCCAAATATGTAATTCAGTTACTGTGAACCAAGAGAAGAAAGTATCTGGCAAATTAAATTCATTGAAGAATTCAAAGTAATCAATTTTGTCTGCAATTTCTTCATATAGCATATAGCCCCTTGCTTTTATTTTCTAAAATGGTATAATAGATAAGCTGTAAACTAGTAATAACAAATCGGCCAAACTTACCATTTGATCTACGTTTAAAAATGGAATCTTCTTCAATATTTTCTTCACAACACTTTCTTCTTTTTGAACATTTTTTACTTCATACGTTGATACAAAGCTTATTTGATTGCTGTTTACATTCCAATTTTGAGCAAAACTTAATAGTTTTAGATTGCAAGATGATTTCAATCCATTCCGTCTTACATTTGTTGCCTATAAAATGGTTATTTTTATCTTACAGAATGCTAACAAAAATATAATTGTATCTTACCAATGCCGATCTTAAACTAATATTAACAATTCTGCTTATATTCATAACTCAATTCAAGGTATTTTTCAAGATTAAGTAAATGCATAAATCTGCTATTGCATATTTTGAATATTTTCTTCAAAATAATAGAGCATAGAGCGTGCCAAAAAAGTAAATATAACCAAACTTCTGACCACAGAACCTTCTGACAAAACCGTAAGCGCGTAAGCGGACAACCAGTGTTGCCATATCGTTTTTTATATAATCAGTATTATTTTGTCAGTTAAAAAATCAGTGAATAATGGAAAACACATCCAACGGCCATAAAAAAATAATTTTTAAGTTCAAAGCCACATACAATTCATAAAATTCAACTTTCAAAGAGTCTACATTGTGTAATCCCATCACATGCAGGGTCGCTGAAAGCTATGGTGGGGCCCCGGGGCATTTTTATAAAAAATCAAGTCCTGCTAGGTTACATTTTTAAAAAAGACCTTAAGCTAAATCAGATCCTTTCTTAGTGAAATTTAAAAAAAAAGTCTTCATAAAACTTCCTCTGCTAAAGCTCCTCCTTGTGCCGAGGCCCCGGGAATTTGTCCCCCTGCCCTCCCCCTCTCGTTGGGCCTGACTCACATGAAGGTGTTTCAGTAAGCAATGTCCCATTAGTAATCCCACAATGGTGGATATCTGAGGCCTTCCGAGTTATAGTGTACCTCATCATAGCCATGCGTAAGTATGGTAGGTCTCCTGACAAGGGCGTTTCCAGGGAGGGACGAGGGGGGCAGCTGCCCCCCTTTCCGAACCCGAAAAAACTAAATTAAGATAAAACTTAATATAAAATTTTTAATTTTTATAAATATTTTTTTTAAAGTTTACCAGTACGAAAATACCAGTATGAAATAAAATATATCATTCAATTTAAAAACAAAAAAGTGCTGTCTTCAATTGTTTTATGTATCATTTTCTGCGGAACACATGATTTAGCTCTAAGAGGCAAAAATTTGAATAAATGCGTGCTTATAGACTTTGTCATTTATGCATCAAAGCAGGTGATTCACAATTAGGACACCATTTTCAGCACGGACCAAAAAACGCATCATACCGTTCACCTATCATTCAAAATGAAATAATTGATCTCTGTGGCGCTTCAATGAAGGAACAAATCAATTTAAATGTTATAGAAGCTTGTGCTTATAGCATTCTGGCTGACGAAACTGCAGAAGGACTTAATTTAGTAAGTATTGCCAAAACTATTGATGATTTTGTGACAAACTTAGACCTAGATCCTGATAAGTGTATGGGGTTAGGTTTTGATGAATATTCCACCATGTCTGGAAAAGAGGCGGGCGTGCAAGCGATCTTGAGACAAAAGTTTAAAAAAAGCTTTCTACTTCCACTGCTCTTCGCACAAGTTTAACCTTGTTGTGAATGACTTGAATGTTATCCCGGAAATACGAAACAGCGTTGGAACTATCAAGGAGATTTTTCTGCGAGTCGAGTCTGTTTTACGACGCAAACTTATTGCAAACATTCCAAAATTGTGTTAAATTAGGTAGTCAGAGAAATATAAAACCAATCGTGTTTTTAAGAAACACTTTTTCGATTTAGTTGATGCACTAGAGACATTAGCTGAGGAGAGAAATGGAGCGACAAGAAAAAGTGTATATCAAATGCACGCAGCGGCATGCAAATCTTCATTTATTGTATTAGTATCATTAATTGCTAAGTATTCCGCCATTCTGGAACCCGTAGCAAATATACTTCAAATGAAGACACTTGATATAGTTAAAGCCAACGAGCATATTCAAACTATTGTTGAAATGCTAAGAGATCATCGGAAGAATGCGGAGAACGTAACGGCTGAAATTATAACAGAAATAGGCGATATAGCAAAGCCTTTGAATGTTGATATAACTTTCGCTCGTATTGCTGGCCGACAAAAGCATAGAAACAACCCCCCAGTCCAAAACCCAGGCGACTTTAATAATTCCTTACTTAGATTCAATCATTAGATCTCTACAAGTAAGATCTTCCACAGACAAATCACTTGCATTTTCATTAACCCATTTTCATCCGGGTAACATGAAACATGTTTCATTTAAAAAACGAAAAAAAAAGCACGTTATATCTTGTGAAAGTTTCTACAATTGGAAGGAGAAAGTGAATTATGGTTCAAAATGTGGAATCACCAAACATCACCGAGATTTTGAAAAAGAGCGAAATGTTTTTTTCCAACAATTAGAAAGGCTCTTCTGATATTGCTTTCGTAACCTTGTACCACTGGCACTATCGAGCGTTCCTTTTAGCTCTCTTCGTAGAATCAGAATATGACTAAGGAGCACTATTAGTGAAAATAGATTGAATGGATTAGTTATGCTTAGCATTCATCGTCAGTGGGTTTTTGCAAACGAAGAGCAATTGGCAAAGGATGTAATTAGAATATCTGCAAGCTATCCACGCAAACTATTGTTAAAAAATTAAGTTTTTTTTTTTTTTCAATAAATGGTGAATTCATTTTGGTATTATATATTATTTTAGCACTATCATTTCCTTAAAATATTGAATTCAGAAAGCGCCCCCCCCCCCCTTTGTTTTGAGCTGGATACGCCCTTGTCCCCTGAGCTTACTGATTATGTGTCCTCTTATTTGTTGTCAGTGAATTTGGTGTTTTGTGGTTATCTACCTGTTTACTGCCTGTCTAGCAGAGGTTTTGCTTATCCCAAATACAGATTTGGGCCCTGTTTTACCTTAATGTGGGTTGCCAGATCATTTAGTATTCTAATTAAAGCAGTTCCAGACCAGCTTTGACTTACTGATTCTGTTTGAACAAAAGGGCCTTTAAAGCTGCTATCTGAGAGAATTGAGATGGTTTGTTTTTTGTACTCCCTTCTTAAATTATCTCGTACACACAATTCGATTGCATGTATTTCAGCAATACAGTGTTACAGTGATGATATGTTTTTTCCAGTGAGACGTACGCGAGCTTGTTCCCTTGTTAGTTTTAGAGCCATCCGTATACCATAAGGGACCGTTAAGCAAGTATTTCTCTACCTCCTTATTTACCACGTTCCATTTGCAGTTGACTTGGAAGAGTCTGTGAAGGCTAGGCTCCATTATGATCTAATCCCATGTTTAATATAGGATCATTTACCTCATGTGTTATTCTTATACGATCTTGGTTGGTCCAACCATTTGAACGATAATTATTGTGTAAAAATCTGTAGTTGGATATATGACAAGTTTGAAAGTGTGTATATCCATTTTATCGACTTGTTATGATACAATTTCATTTAAAAATACATATTGCAGTGCAATGTGTACTGATATTTTCCTATAATAATGTTAATAATAAAAATTTAACGAAATAATTCTTGATTATGAAATGTGCATGCCATCTAATAAGTATTCTAACAAACATAAACCTAAAGGCAAGTTTCAAAAATATTTTAAGAAAATTAAAAGAAATTAATCCGAAAGCAAACATGCAGGTGATTTATATGGACCGGTGCAAATCCGTAGTACTACGATTTTTAACTTTTTACATAAAAAAGGTAGGATGACTGACGACTATCAAAAGATGAAGCTATTACAAAATAATACTAGTTATACTGAATATCGATCTCTTGAGCGGTTTTACGACTTATTCTTTGTCTTCCGAATGTCAAAAAAAAAATGCATGGATAACGATTTTCATCACCTATAATTGTCAAGAAGCTGTCGAAGCCTTCAAAAACTATAATATAGGTTTTATAGATACCTTCCACCTTCAGAATAGAAAAAAATGTTTAGAGAATTTCTACGAACGCATGCAAAAGTATAAATATAAAACTTAATTGCCGCGTTTGAGAATCCACATCGGATGCATTTGAGATGTAGTAAATCTTTGATCACGTGATTCAGTATACGTAAATTGCTGCGTTTGAGAATCCACATCGGATGCATTTTTTACATCTCGAGCGTTTTTTTATCCACATCGGACACATCTGCTGCCCATTACATTTACGTATACTGAATCACGTGATCAAAGATTTTTTACATCTCAGATGTATCCGATGTGGATTCTCAAACGCGGCAAATGTAATGGGACAGATGTGTCCGATGTGGATAAAAAACGCTCGAGATGTAAAAAATGCATCCGATGTGGATTCTCAAACGCGGCAAATATCGGTAAAGGATGTATAAAATCAGTAGATCTACTGAAAACTAAGTAGATCTGGTAGCACTGAGAACAACGAACAAAAAATCATCGTGGATAAATCGTCATCTACCGGAAATATGTACAAACAAAATTCTAAAACAACGGCACAAACCCGTTTAGCATAGAACAGCACAAATCTCGTGCAAGTTTGCCAAATGGTAATATTTTGATATATTGGCAATGGCAAGATAGCAATATACAACGATGCGATGGCACGTGAATGAATTATGTATAAGATATATGATGTAATTAGACCAACAAACGCAATTTTAAAAGAACATTGTACATAATTAAACATTTATTGTGTTTAAATGTTACCTAGAAATGCATACTGGGTATATGTATACAATGTAGAATCACGGATCTGTAATAGGTACCTATTACAGATCAGTGTACCTATATATGATAATATCATTATTGTATGTATAAACGATTTAAAAAAGATCTCAAATTGAGGTTAAGAACAATAATATGGATCGATCACTTTAAGTTTAAAACTATTTTATTTTATTTAACCATAATGGTAGGTACTTGATTAGTTTTTTTCCTTTTTTCATAATAAAACTAGCATTTCTATACTTCCTATACTTTTTATATATTTGGCAACCTTCTGTGACGTAGTTCGAACGGTAGCGCAACTGTCTGCTAAGACTTGATGCACACGAGCGATAAATTCAACGCCCTATTATTTTGCTTACTGGACATTGCATTTTAAGGAATACAATGACAATTCACAAGGGAAACAATGGTTTTAGGATTAAATTTCCAGTTTTCGTTTCCACAAACAGGTTATGATTGATTTAATTCAATTGATTCAGTAATTGACGTCAAAATGAAATATTTGAAATAATCGCATGATCGCATATGTGTGTACCACCTCTAATGCTTAAACTTCAAGAAATTCATTTTGTGCTTTAGAAATGGTGGATTGACGAATCTATAGAAGGTGAGTTAAAATAACATTTTTTATAAATTATTGCTGTGAAGTACCATTTTTTTATAACTTCCTTCGGATTACTTATATTATGCCAATCATACCGACAATATTTGTTTCAAAATTGGTGTACAAATAGATTTGATATTTGAGGGAGAGACGTTCTCACCAATATGACCTTTTTCAGCATTGTATGGTATTTTTCCGTATATATACATATTGAAAATGTAATATTCTGTTTAAAAAATATTTGAATTATAAAAAAATAGTAGATCAACAGCTTTTTTCAATGTAATTGAACAGGCAAGGTTATCAAAAAGGACATTCAAATTTCTTCAAAAGTCATTTATAATGTAACGAACATCATTTTTATTATTATTTAGTTATTCTTATTTAAGGGCGCTACTATTTTGAATTATAAACATTTTACATTATATTAATAATGATCATTTACACACTTTTTATATGAAATTGGGTTTCACCTGTACAACTTTGGATAAATAATCTAGTACTTTTTTAAGGAAAAGTATATATAGGGTTTAAAATTAACTCCAATAAACCCATAATAAAAATAAAAAACCCTTATTTGTAAATATTACATGTCTAAATAGAGATATTGCAATTCAATACATATAATAATGAGATCTAGGTTTTAAAGTTACCTATTTCCTTTAAAATAAGTTACAAAAGATAACTGCTACATTATATCTTCCCCTTTTTTAGATAAATATCCACAATGACAAATAAACAAACAAAAAAAGGTAAGAGACCTTTACAGACGTCTCTTGGCAAAGCCCCAGGCCACAATGATAAGGAGGAAGTTGATCTCTCTCATGTTAAAAAGCCCATTGATACCAGTATTTTTGGATTAAGTCAGGTTCTTTCCCTGTTACAAACTGCCACAGAAGAGGTAAATATATTGTTAATGGTATCTTTTTTTTTGTTGAAAATTATAATAGGTATATAGACTGAATGCAATGGATAATGCCAATTTTGTGTGTTAAAAATAATCAATTACTTATTTAAAAAATTATCAATTGATAATTCATAAATATATCTTAATGAAATAGGCCACTACTTATGAGCAATTTGCTTTCTGTTAATGGCTTCATAATATAATAATAAGAATAATAATAATACTCTCCCTAATTCACCCCCTTATGAGTGAATTTTAACCCCTGAAGTCATAGATTTATTAAATAATAAAAATGAACATAATGTAAAAGCAATTATTTTTTTGTTAATGCCTTAAAACTCAATTCATTTGTGTTGAGTAATTATGGAAATTATCCATTTTGTTATATTTAACTAATGGTTATTTTTATATAGTCAAACACTTGCTATATATAATTGTTTCAGTGGATTTTTTTTTTTTTTAAATTAACCTATTAATAGATAATTGGGCACTGTTAGCCCCAAATAAGCATAACATTTCCACTTGAAATGGACGTATTGGATTTTATCAGAAAATGCATAAAACCACCTCTTTTAAATTAATTTAAAAAATACTAATTCTCACCCACTCGAACAAAACTGTTGCTTTATTTTTCTTTTTAATATAGTTTCTAGTTTATTCATAAATGATATATGAAATCAAATAACTAACTACTAACAAAAACTTTACATAGAATAATGGATCTGATTGAGTAGAAGCAAAACAGGCAGAAAAGCCTAGGCTTGATGCTCAATCAGATGTCTTTAAATAACTCTATTTTTATTATTAGGTATTGTATTTTATTTAAACCAATAAATTTGGTTTGAAATTTGACTCATTTCCTCCCATTAAGTACCCATATGTATTTTGTTATTTTAGGTAAAAGGTTATATAACTTATGAATGTGATATAATGTATGAATGCCGCATTTGCAGAACGATTTTTAGAAGCCTAGCTAATTTTATTCTGCATAAAAGAAACTATTGCAGGTCAAAGTTCAAAGTTTATGTCTCAAATTGCCGAGATCACATTCTGTTGGTAAGTAATTCACAAATTACAACACAAATTGCTCAAAAACGGTTATTTTATTTCTATTAATAGGAAAAACTGCACCCTCAAGAGCCGCCTGAAGAACAGAAAATTGACAGTAACTCTGACAGAGTCCAGTTGGATAAACAGGGTCCTGCTGCAAAGAGTTTGACACCTGTCATAGAAAAACTGAAGGAAAAGCAAGAAATTAAGCAATTGATGCAAGAACTGTTAGTTACTGACCTGTCAAATCAGACCAGCACTGATGATAAGGATGAAGAAAAGTCGATTGTGGCTGCTAATGATCTGTTACTGGAAGAAATAGCATCAAATAATGCAGCAGTTTTTCAAACTGTTTTACGCAGCTTGCCTCAGAGCGACGGTTGTAAACCGGAATTTATGAAAAGTGAAGTAAGTTACATAAATTTTAGTTGATAATTCTGCACCTTTACATATACCTATCGACTTTGAGTTAATAGGGCTAGGGTATATATTTTCGAATCTTGGTATTGCCCCACATTTTTCTAATACCTTGCATAGCTGTGATATATAACTACCCACATCCAACCAGTACCCAATAAAATATCCCCTTGCTATATACCAGTCAATAGAATAATATAAACAAATATCTAGAAAAAAGACACTTGGGGCTACATCTGTTAAAGTTATTGTACCTTCTGGGGGTCCTACAAGGACCACACAAATTTTATTTTGTATTATCTAAACCAACTATTTTAAAATTTTTAACGAATCAGGTGAATTTCCTGACTTTTGGAAACTCTTATATTACTCCCATTTACAATTTGGCCAAAATATTGAGGTAAAAAAATATCTGCCTTTTTTCAAACAATTCCAAACATCTTTTAAAGCATAATAACTGATTTTCTTACATATGATTGCACTAATATTTTAAGTAATCAACAATTTGGTTTTTCATCAGACAAATCTGCTGAACTGAGCTTATTAATATGTGCTAACTTTCTGTCTGAAGCTTTGGAGAAGGGCCTACAGGTAGATTCTGTGTATACAGACTTTTCCAAATCTGTTAACAAGGTGAAGCATGATCTTCTAGTTCATAAGCTAGTTTATATGGTATAGATGGGATGGTCTTACACTGGCTAGAAAGTTATCTAACGAACAGGTATCAACAGGTCTAAGTTAATCATTATTATTCCCTAATTTTCTCAGTAACTTGGGGGTCTAACTTGGGACTGTTATTGTTCAATCTTTTTATAAATAATATCACAACTTGCTTTTTTGACACTACAGCTCAGTTCTATTATTTGCAGATGATTTGAAGTGCTTCAAAATTATTAATGATTATGATGACACTCAGACTTTGCAAGTTGGTGCTATCTTAATGTCGTATCCATCGTTTAATAATCTTTAATTAGAGTTTTAATTGTATTTGCCGTCTTTATAGGTGATGGAAATCCACGGGATCCTTGATAGCGACGAAGCAGTTCTAGGGAATGATGGAAAAATTTGCAACTTTCAAACCAACAAACTCAAAACCAATCCGAACGTGCCGAAGACCTATCTGATTTGCACTGAATGCAACATGAGGTTTTCCACTAAAAAAACTCTATCTTTCCATTTGAAAAATAAACATAATGACACCAGATTGGTTTATGTTTGTCCAGATTGTAAGGAAACGTTCTCGAACTCTTGGTGCGTGTATAGGCATCTCTATAAGGTATGAAAGGAATAGAATAGAATTTATTTGTCAATAAAGTATTTTTTTTTTTACATTTTTACAATGTTACAAAAAACAGAAGAAGAAACAAAAACACTATTCACACTGTCCAGTTCATACAAGTTTCAAATTCTAGAGCTAAGATAATAGATAATATAGATAATATATAATATACAGAAAACTAACACAATTAACAAGTTTTAATTAATATTAGGTAAAATATATTTTAAGTTATAAAATTAATATGCTAAAAGTTCATCAACAGAGTAAAAGGCCTTACCTGCAAGAAACTGAAACAGCATAAATTTGAATTTTTTAAAGTTTTCTATGTTGCCTAAAATTCTTACAGAATGGTTAAACAAGATAGCTCTTTGATAATACAGAGAGTTTTGACCCACTGTTAATCTTGAGAAGGGTGTATGAAGTTCACCACCTCTTCGAGTAGGATAGGGTGTATCATATTATTAGTTGTTTGATGTGAAAGATTTTTTTAAATATATAACACCGATAGATAAACAAGCATGGAAGAGTTAATATTGATAACTTGATAAAATGTTGCTGACAATGTTCCAAAGGATAGGCTCCTATCATGCATCTAATAATTCTTGTTTGCAAGAGAAAGACTTTATTCATATGGGCCGAATTTCCCCAGAAAATCAAGCCATATGAAAGTACCGAATTTGGATAAGACATATTACTGTTAAATTGTTTATTTAATTTGATTCTAAATTCATTCAATTTTTGAAATGGACTTGTGTTATCTATTTTTGCTCCAGGTTCAAAACAATTCATATTTCTTTTCTCTTTAAGAAAATTAAAACTCCAAAAAAGCTGCACTGAAATTCGTTAATAATAGGGAGTAGTAACAGAATTTTCATATATTGAACAAAGAATTTCTTTCATTCACAAAAATTATACAATAAAAATGTTTAAAATACACAATTTTTGTTTAATAGTATAATAGATCATTTGTCTCGGTGGCAAATTACAATAAATTTTTAGGTACTTTATTTGAATGTTCTTTTATAGAAATTTCACTATGACAATTAATATATACATAATTTACTTCACATCAACACCACAGCTTGATTGTCTCTGCCAGCAAAAATTTAATTTTCTACATGTTGCCATGTGTCTTAGATTTTATTCTCTCTGTTTAACAGTAAATAAAGAAAAAAAAACATTATAAATAAGCTTTTTTTTGTTACTTATACATGATCTACGTTCCAGACGGAAATGTAATGGTTTACTTTTTTTAGGTGCATCGTAAGACGATAGCGCAGGTGAAAAGGCTGAGGGAGCAGGTACACAACAGCATGATTAGAAAAGATCAAGATACTAATAAGAAGAGTGACAAGAAGGAATCGTCCAATTTGGATAAGACAGATGAAGAAAATCAGGTAAGTAATCAATTACATTTTTATAGAAGGAATAAAGTTGAATTAGAGTGTCATCTGTGGTTTAAAAGATACATAATGAAGAAATGTTACCAAGGTTTATCTAACATCAATCGGCAGTCAGATCTATTATTTGAAGAAGTTATTTGAGTTAAATTTGATGATCACTGGGAACTTATCTTTAAAAAATTAAAAATTATGACTACTCCTTAATAGTATATGATTACCTTAAATACATATGTTTCAAAATATGACAGAATTTCATTATTACAGCCCTACAATTTAATACAACTGAGAAATCGTTTAACCAAAACAAAAAACAGTATACAATTTTTTAATATACTACTCAGTAAACAAGTTACTACTCGTTCATGTGTGTTTCTATGTTATTGAGGATTATTATATAAAGATAAAGAATGTAATTTTGTGTGACATGTATTTTACTTACTTATTTATACCTAAATGTGGCATTTTATCTTTTACATTTACTTTTGATGACTAAATACTGCACGTGTACAAAATAAGAAATAAATTATCTAAATGCGTGTTTTTTTTAGTGGCTGAACAATATCGAAGGTGACAAGGACTTCCAAATGTGCGGCGGATGCGGCAAAAGGTTCGAACGCAAGGCGGCGCTGCATTCCCACGCTGCCATGTGCACCAAACGCATAGCCGTTTGCAACACGATCAAGGACAATGCCAAGAAAAAGGAAGAATCTAAGGATGTCAAAAATAAAGTTACTAACAATGCCAATAAGTCGTCCGTTCCTGAATCTCAAGAAACACTTAAAGGAGCTTCTAAGAGAAAGGTACGGTATTTCCGTGTCATGTTTATTACTTCATCGCCACCTGTGAAACTTTTTAAGTAATACATTTAGCATCTGTTATTATTGTTTCGTTTATTTAGCTAGTTTGCTTATATAGGGTCATGGCACTTCTTATGGCAAATACCCTACTTAATGCCATTTGTGGCTTTGAGATCTGAAAATAAGCATTTTTCAACAATGTAAACTATTTATTTATTTATACGGAAACTCCATTTTTACAATTTTAGTAGAATAACAAAATATATCAAAATTTCATAAGAGATATTAACACAACAATATCACATTTATACCAAAACAACCTAATTTAATTTAGTTACATAATTTTGGAAATATGTTTTTTAAACTGATGAGATCTGAACTTAAAAGGATCGATATTATGTTCATTGTATAATCTACACATACGGGTGAGAGGGTTGTGCATGGCGTAGTTTGTGTTATTGGTGGGAATGTAAAAAAGATCATTATTTCTAGTTCGACGCGTGGTCGAAAAGTCAATTAAATTTAGCAAACAATCACAGTTAATACTTCCCATCAATAATTTGTATAAAAAGCATATGGAAGACTGCGCTCTCCTGGACTCCAATGTAGAAATCGCAAGGCGATTTAGTACAGGCTCATAATCAATATAATATGGATTTTGTGCATCGGTATGGACATTAATATTAAAACGCCAGGCAACAACATGCAAGAATTTATTTTGAACTCCCTCCAGAGCAGATACATGCACCTGATGATAGGGTGACCATACCACAGATGCATACTCCAATAGAGATCTGACAAGGGAGCAATGCAACAATTTAAAGGCGTTTATAGACAGGTCAACGCTGTTTCGTGTTACAAGGCCAAGCATTCGTGCAGCGCTGTTAACTACCATGCCAAAGTGTTCTCGAAAGTTAAGATTGGAGTCTAGAATCACGCCGAGATCCTTAATTGAACCCTTAACAGTTAGCGCTCGGTCATTTAAGACATATATATTTGTTATGGGCACTGTTCTTCGTGAAAAAGTTATAAACACTTATCAATGTTCAACTGTAAACCATTGTCTCGGCACCAAGCACAAGTCCATCTAGATCACTTTGTATTAACATGCAGTCGGATGGTTCCGAAACATCTTTAAATAATTTTAGATCGTCCGCAAACAATAAAAATTCTGAATTGAACTAAGTGGGGGTTAGAGGTTAATAAACTAAGGCCACTGTAAATCAGGAAAATACATAGTTAATATGTGCAATATATTCAAGCATTACTTGTTGTTTTGGCTAAGAATTTACCTGCACACATCAGGACGAAAATTCGATTTTTTTTTTAATTTGGTGTCATCGGCATCAACTACTAAGGCCATATAACCATTCATATGCAATTTTCGGAGAGGTAAGTAGATATTAATACCCAATATATTTTGTTTTCAACATATTATTTTGTTTTAAATTAGAAATAAATATCAAGGTGGCCATTGGTAACTACTAAAAATTAAGAATTCGTGAGTTATGTGGCCACTGCAGTTATTGTGTGGGTTGAGGGGTAGATGTAGATAATAATTGAGTTATTTTATATTCTTTCTTTATCTTGATGTTAATAGTGTAACTTGACAAACTGGGCCCTATCCTAGTTTTCCCAATACCCCTAACCATGGCGTAAATTTCGTCTAGTGGATCCTCACGAAGTGATGTTAAAACCCCCAGAATTACGTTTAGAGTTCAATGTAGCTGTAATGGAGGAAGAACAAAGTAAACGCAGATTAATTTTGAATACTGTTTATTTAACATATATTCTTTTGTACAGTCGGACATTCAGATTATGTGCCGTTTTTAGGCTTACCATTATGTTTATGTAGGCTTTCCAATGTGTCATTTCTAACCTCGGAGCTTTTAGTTCCCATAAAAGGGTAAAATAAAAGTCTGAGGTACTTTGGTATATTTAAAAAAACCAAAAAAGGTTGACAGCTGTGTGCACGTAGTTTAGATTCAAAAGGAAAAACTTGTATTTCGTGCAAAACTTTTTTATTAATCAATGCAAAGTGCTTTCGGCTTATTTGCCATCATCAGTGCTCATTGTCCACGACGTATCCAACAAGTTCCTGGTCATCCTCACTCCCAAAATTATATATTTCGGGATATTTACAACTTGCTAAATCATAATTTTATTAGTATTAATATTTTCAAATTTAAATTTCTCTCTTCATTTTGGTTCAAGTTGTTTAACCGTTTCCACATAGTCAAGTTCTTCTCAAGGATATTCCTGTACCTTACACCCTAACCCTAAATTGATATTTAAAAATTTAACTTAAAAATTAGTGGCTATAAGTAAAGAACTAGTGGCCAAAAGTAAAGAATTTCTTCCAATTTTACTAAAAAATGCAAAAAAGAATCACCTGCTATTAACACAATAGATGCATAATATATTCTTGAAAATTACATACTTCAACCTATCAAATACAATTATTTTTTTTTTTTGTTAAAATATGACATAAACAGGCTCCACAGAAGCATTTTTTTTAAGGTGTCCATAAGTAGTGCCACGACCATTAGGGTATATTAGATACACATTTAGTAAAAAAAATATATATAAGACAAATCGTAGATAATACAGATAATTGATATAATTAAAACTTATTAATCCTAGCGGTTGTTACTGTTTCTGGAGAAATATTTATTAATTAAATAATCTGGGACAATAATTTTACTCCAGTATCAACCAAAATATCCTTTAATGTTTTTATTTGACAGGTCAATATTAAAATCTCCAGAAACAATAATTTTTTGTAAATTCAGTGCTAAAACAACATAACAAATTTATACAACTACTGCTAGATGACCTATACAAAGATACAATTAAAAATGTTTGTTCCCAAATATTACCTTCACAGAAACAATCCAACTAATTTTTGGAATACAATATATCTTTTCACTTTTCAGCCCTATTTACTCCGCACTTACAAGCAACCCCCCATCGACAACATACCTAAGAGAGAACCGGCCTGCGACACGGTACCGTGTGATTCAAAACCAGTTTTGGATGAAAAGGATTGTGATATGCAAACTGATGAACAAGTTTCCTCGAAATCCAAACCTAGAAAAAATAGTTCGGACAGCGATCGCAAATCTGAAACTAGCGATCGTAAATCAGACACTAGCGATCTTTGCACAACGATCACTCTAGTAGATGATCATGAAGTGTCCAGTGTGAATGATAAAAACGAAACGGTGATGAACAAGATCTGTGATGATGACAATTCGAATTGTTCTACCTCAAAGGGTAGTAGTGATAACGTGGTTTTGAACAAATTAGACAAAAAAAGAGTTGACCATGGACAGTCGCATCTGAAAGATGGGGAGTGTTTCTGTTCTTCGCCGGCCAGGCTAGATTCAGAGAAGATGTTAAACATTATTGGTGAGTTAATAGTTGTTTATGTACCAAGTGCATTAGATAGATGGTAACACCTTGAAGGTGACACGAATCAGTCCCATAGGAAAATCTCAATCTAGTTTTTGACCTTTTTTTTTAAATTATACCCTTTGCTTACTTATTACAATCTGATCAATCAGTAATTTAATAACATAATTGCCTACAATTTTGAAACTTTTAAAATACCTCCATTCAGATCGCATAGTTTTACTTATTTTTATTAGAAAAAAAATTTAATTAAAATATAAATATGTAAATTTTGACTTTTATTTTTTTTTTTTAAACATTTGCAATAAGGCCATATTAGCATCTTCCCTTACAGGTATTATTCCAAACGAGCGAATAGAATTGCTTAAAGAAGGTTTGCCGTCTCCGTCCTGTCAATCGCAGGAAAAGTGTCATAACGCTAGCGAGTTCGACCTGTTCTGCCAAAAGGTCGCCGAACATATGCTTAAAATTCAAGACGATCCAGAAAAATCATCTACTCCTTCCCTAGAAGAGGTTGGTACCAAAAGTACCGAAGAAAGTATTGGAAACGTTTCCGAGTTCCAAAGCCCTGGCAAAGTAAGTTCATAATAATTTTGTTCCATTTCAACTATTTAATACATAATTTAGTCAAATGATGATATTATTTTACTTGCTAATTTTAACGGTCCACTTCTAGATTAGCATCAGGAGCTTGGAAGAATTGAGGGGATTCCCTAAGGAGCAACAAACTACTGAAACAATCATTGACGAGGAGATGCCTGTTTTAGAACTGAGCGTGACTCCGAAAAGTCCCAAGAAAAGTCCTAGGAGGCTCGCAAAGAGAAAGAGAACGTCGTCTTTGGACTCGATACGGACGCACAAGACTTTTAAACAGTCCAATTTCGACGTATTATTAGACAAACAGGTAATACGTCTTTTTAATGATAGCAAATTTTTGTTTTCTTCATTATGGGCAAGCAGAATAATTATTACAATCTATGACTGAGCTAATATGATGGCTTGTAAATAACAATAATAGTAGTATTTTCAATCTCCACCAATACCTAATAGGTCGTAATTTTGTAGTTGAAGATTTCTGTAATATTGTTTGCACTAATTCTATATCTAGTCAATAGATGAATATGTATTTGACATAGATTCATCGAGAAATTCAAAGGATGCCCTGTCCTCCTTGTTATTGAAGTGTATATTTAGGCTTTCTTCTACTTCTTATACGGAATCCTTGTTTTGTAGTGCGAACACTGTTGTTCTCTGCAAAGAGATTATTTCTTTTCTTGTTGGTTTATTTAATTTTTTTAAATTGTCGTTTTTTGAACTGATTATTCAGTCCCAGCTATCGGCCGAAGTCTTTCTGCCTATTATGCTGTATAAATATGAGATGTGGAGAACAACGCCTCAAATAGTTTATTTTAAATGATATACTTTTGATGACGTTATTAGTATGTTCCTTAAATTGTAAATTTGTATCAACCATAAACCCTAAATATTTAAATTTTTCAACTCTCTGAAACTTTATTCCATCAACAAAACCACACTGCGATGCTACATTTTCCAGTACCCCCAATTAACATCCACTTTGTCATTACTTTTTTAAACTGACATTTCCTTGTGATTGAGATACATAAATAAACAGTGGTTTCTTTTATGCAGGATTTGAACTTTATGGCGAAAGCTTCGCCGCACATGGACCGAGCGAGATTGACCTGCAAATCCTGTCAATCCAAGCACACATCTCTCTCGAAACTGCTGTGGCACATGTCGGCCCACTTTTCTTGGTTCAGGTTCCAATGCAGCAGGTATGTCATATTCAGTGTTACAAACCAGTCAGACATCCTGGACTAATAATCAAAATGTTAATCGTTTTGTTTCTCTAGATGTTCATTTGTGTCTTTTGGAAAATCGGAGTGTGCAGCGCACGCAAAAGACGCACATGAAATCAGAACTGATGAGATTTCGAGTGTTGTATTGCCGATACCCAACTGGAAAACGTTGTTGATGTCAAATGAATTTAGGGAGTTGAAGAATGATGACGATTTTGGCGGAAAGCATACCGATGAGGTAAGTAATTTATTTATTTAGATTAAAAAATTAAGTCACATATATTTGTTGTTAACCACCTACACCTCTTCTGGTATTAACATGTACATATGAACAGGGATAGCAAAAGCTGCGACATTTGCCCAACATGAAATACGACAGAAAGAGCAATTTATGCCGCCTTGACAAATTTGTCAGTATAGTGTTTTGCTTACATAAAATATTGAAATAGTGAAATACACAATTGATGATTTTATATTATTAAATCAATTATAGTATTAAATTCTCTTAAATCTTCCATTTGTTGAATAGAGCCTCGAATGCAACATCCTTGTACCTACCAATATACAACCTGCATCTGTTGCAGGTATTATAGACACAATGTGTGAACTTAATCCAATTAACTATGTTGTAAAGTATCAACAAATGATCTTGGATCTGGTATTTTTTGATAATCTTGATTCAGTCCCATGTGCCTAATGTGACTCCTCTGTTACATCCTCCTTTATCATATGAGTTCCATAGGTAAACTTTGTAGAGCTAAATACATTTTTCACAGGGCTTAATTGGTCTTCCATATTAAGCGGTGAAGATGCCAGTGTTAGTGAACAACAATATTATTGTAAAGGGTAATGCCAAATTCGTACAAAAAAAAGTATTAGGAATAGCAAATATCCTGTACTTATGCAAAAGGTGGCATGTCGTGTTTTTGTTTGCTATTTGTAGTTAGGTACATGTACTATGTCCCTCTGGTGGGAGCTGTAGTGTAACCTGCCATATTCAAAATAACGCTTCATATAGATGGAGTTTTTTTTTTGTTTTTTTTTGGTTGACAATGAAATAATTGGCTTCTAGACGTCTATAACAATAAACATTTTTTGTCGTCCGATTTTGCTAATTTCGGTGTAAGTGTAGGAATTTCATCGATAGTAGCAAAACCGGACAACAAAAAAGCAGGGTTCGGATATATATCACGAAATATATCATATTTATACCTTGATATATATCCGATATATACGATAATTTTATTTATTAAATTAAAAATGTTTTCCACCATTCTGAACATCCAAAAATTCTCAATACGCCCCTGCATAAAAGTATAATAACTAGAAATTTATATGTGTTTGTGTTAAAATATTAATGTTAATAAAATAATGTTAAAATCTGTTTATTTTATTAATTATTTTGTTTTTCTTTTTAATTTGAGTTAGAATAAACGGTTTTGTTGTTTAGAATATAGTTTTTTGTTAATATGTTTGTGTTAAAATTTACAATATAGGTTGTGCAAGAAACAATACTGTTTTTTAATGAAATAATTAAATTTTAAAATTGATATATATAGAATATATATCCGATATATATCAGATATATATCATGTGATATGATATTTATATAAATATGATATTTTCGAACCCTGCAAAAAAGCTTGCAATGTGATTTTTTTTAGTTATAGACGTCTAGAAGCAAATTATTTCATTGCCAGCAAAAAACGGAAAACTCCATCCATAAAAAACATTATTTTGAATTTGACAGGTTACACGATAGCTCCCTCCACCGAGAGTTTGTTTTTTGTGGTTGAATTTTGTGAATTCCGATTTTCTGGGATTTGGTATACATCTCCATACATTAAACCAAATTTCGGTTTTGTCGATGTGGTGTAAGCTTTTTACTGCTTTATATACAGTTTTATTGTGGCTTATTAGGCTTGTGTGTTATCTGCATATTGTGAGATGTACAAATCAGTATTTATATTATTTTTTTGATTAAAATTGGATTTGTCATGACAATATAGAATATTTTTATATTTAGTCTTTAAGCCTTTTAAAAAGAAATATTTTATCACAGCACAAAACTCGTTTTTTTTTATGAAGAAATTTAACGAATTATTTACTTAAATCGATAATAATATGTTTATGCATAATATGTTTGAACAGCAGTTGTATGAGCAATGGCGCTTTCAAAACAAGTGCTCAACACTTAAACGTAGCGTAACGCCAGATTCTCGTTCGTTCTGGAAACATTCTGATCTATCCTATTAATTATATTATTTCAATAAAAAATGTTCCCCTTTTCCATTTCAGGTAAAACCGTGCTGCCAGAACGAAACCTCTTGGACGGACGACAATGAAGATGACCCAGCCAAAAACCTCATCGACACGCTGTTCGTCGATTCGGAAGTTGACGAAGTAGATTTCACGGACATCCACGAAATCGAATCGTTCCCGATGCCGATAACGAACGAAATATCGTCCGTAAAAAACGTGAGCATCGACGTCACCGAAAACGAGCAGGAACATTTTCAGCTCGAAGTGCCGCAGGAAATTTATACGCTGGACGTTTTCGAGGTGATAAACATCGACGAAAACGAGCCCAGACGGCCTGTCATCAAGGAAGAAATCGAAGACGGTGCCTTTTTATTACCGAATTGTTCGACGGCCAGTCCCGAATTAATCGAAGGCGCTAAATTGGAGTGTGAAGAGGTGAAACATTCTGCTACAAGTTTAACCAACAACAGACCGACTAGGAATCGAATGAGAAGCATAAAAACCCTCCAAAATGACTTTTTTTATGATTTGGGTAGAGTCGTGAAACGTGAAGTCGATGGCGTTACCAAGACGAACGGCCCACAGAAGCAGAAAAAGCAAAACAGCGGCTCGAATGTATCGAAGAGAGACAAAGAGATGCGAGTCTATACGAAAAATAAGTGATAAGGAAGGTTAATGTTCCTTTTAACCGGTGTATTTACTTGTAAATAGTTTCTTTATTGTTATTCATTGAATATTTTTGTTAATTTATTTTTTTATTTACACTTAAAAACGAGTGTTTTCTCATTGAATAAAATTTTTCCACAGGGTACCTGGCGTTTCATTTCTTATCTGTTTGGTTGAGATTCGCCCAACATTATACAAATGAAAACCCTTTACATTATTTAAATTTTGTAATGTACATCGCTTAATTTAAACATATAATTCGCAGGCCGGGCCTGCATTCAAAGCTCGCTTAGCAACAAGACACATTCAAAAAACATCACCCATCCCTTAAGAAAACAAGAAAAGTCATCTACAGAAGGCTGAGAATATTTATTTATTTACGGGTCAAAACACATTTAAAGCAATACAATTATAGAGAATACATATCACAGCCACTGCCGGGGCTCAACAGTATTTCTAGGCAGACGGGTCCATTATGAAATAAAGTAAGAACTGAAGTGGCAACTTGTCCAACAAAAGACCTAAGAACGATTCACATGTAGTTCACCATACTTTCGTGCAGTGCCTACCGACACATGTCGGAGGTCGGTAAGTTCACTTCAAGTTGTTCCCAATATTCCAACCAACGAAGAACAACTACTAGACTAATTTTGTTTACAAAAAACGAATTTCAAACATTCACGTAGTTGTCAAATTATTGAGAGAGTATTGTTGCAAGGATTTTTTATGGTGATAATTCGGTATTGACTAAATATAAGGCTTTAAACTCTAATGCGCACAAAAGAATATTAGGGAAGTATATTTGCATTCCTAATGCCAGTTATTTTTAGTTTAATATATTTTTTCTAATTTTGATATATAAAGTGATATATTTTTTAATCGCAGCAAGTGTCAAAACGATCTACTTTATGCAACTGATTACGAAAAGTGATTGTCACCAGTTACAAAATGAAAATAAACATAAAATAAGGCATTTCGTAACTGGTTACATAAATAGATATTTTCTCGTTACAACTATTATAATAATAATAATAATATTTATTGCTTCTAAACCTGAGTTACAGCAATGAGTACAGATATAAAAAAATTAGATCTTAAAACATAAAAACAACATTATTCTTCCAGTACAAAAGAGCGCAATTTTAATATATTCCAAATATATTCAGCAATTTTCTTAGCTTCAAAAATTGTTATATTTTGTAAAGTATGCAGCAATGAGTTTACATTTTCAAGGCAAGCGATATTTAGCTTCATTGTTGTGTAAATAGGGCAATCAAAAAGTATGTGAAAAATTGTTTCTTTTTCATGTGTATTACACACAGTACAATCTAGTTCGGGGTCAATAACATAACTAATACCATTTAATGTAAATTTAATCCTAAAATGGTTGGACATACGCAATTGAGCAAGAGTACGGGTAACCTGGATTGGTAATTTAAAGAGTAAGTATGTACTTGGTTCACAAGATGTAGGAACATAATTATATAAATACATAAAAGGATAGCGAGACGCTATACTAACATCTGAATCATGTAAATGTGTAAAATACTTGGAAAACAATTCTTTTCTATATGAACTAAAAGAAGGATGGTTTAAATTGTTCCATTTATGAACACAATCAATATCAACAAAGAACTTTTTCAACTGTACTATCCAGTTATACTTTATATCTGTAGAGTTGATCAAACGCAATTGTTGTTTAAAACAAAGCTTTGGATATCGATGATTATCCATTGTCATTATTTTTTGTATCCAATTAAGGGACATTTTAAAAATATTAAATGCAAACTTTACTCTTCCAGTCTCTAAACGGATTATAGCATCAGGAGTAGTGATGGGAACTAAAAGAACTCTTATAGTTGTATCTATAGTGTTTTTTCAGGAAAGTACACAATTAATTTTGAAGTGACAGCAGGGTAAAGCAAGCATAGTAGACATACATACTGATTCATTCATAAAACGCATGCTTGCTCCTCAGATGAACATTCTCGCTCAAACCATCCTCACTCATATTAGCAGCTGTCTCCTTTCTAATGCGACATCTCTGTCTGCGTAATAATAAACACAATCTGAATGATTTTAATAAAAAAAGGCTTGATTATGAATGAATGTTTGTAGTTTTTCGTTGATTCCAACCATCCATATCGTTTCTTTCGTTTGCGTTTCTTCCGTTCATCGATTCCGACTGCTTTGACCACTTCTATACTTCCTAACGTAAGTGATAAAGGACAATCTCTTCCGTACCTACAGAGATACAAAGCGGCACTAATAAAAGCACGTAGAGGAACAGAGCTGTTTAAGATCATTTTAAAAACGATTGAAATCAAAGATCATGAATCGTTTGCCATTGAAAAAATGATTTAAATCAAAGATCTATTAAAAAAAAAATTGCGACGAATTGAGAACCTCTTTTTTTGAAGTCGGTTAAAAAGAAAGATGTAAATCAAAAATCTTTTTTACAATTTAAATCATTTTAGAAAAAAAATTAAATCTTTTCGAAAGTGCTCGAAATACAGCAAGTGTTGTAAAGACTAGTTATCCACGAATACTTCACGCTATTTTTTTTTATTGGTATACTTTGAAATCCTAAATATTGGTATTATTTCTACAAAAAAATGGAAATAAGAACTAATAACTGAAAATGGTCGAATTTGTGATGTAACATCAGTATACCTCGTTGTCATGAAAATATGAGACAAACAAAAATTTATTTTCAATCTGTCACGTAATATTAATTGTCGCAACAGTTGTTATTGTTAAATAATAAAGCAGAATCGCGCTTAATACCACAAAAATCCGAAGCGGTTTATAAAAAAGAATACGATAAATTCAACACGTGGATGGAAGAGCAAATGGTTACACATATAGATGAACGAGTTGTTCTCGCTTATCTCCAGAAAATGTCGGAACAGTATAAAGTATCGACTATGTGGACTATCCATTCAAAATTACAAAGTATGTTGAGGATAAACAAAGGGGTCGATATAAAATCGTTCGTCAAAGTGCATGCATTCATGAAGGCAATTAGCAAAAATGAGGTAGTCAAGAAGGCATATGTATTCGAGCAAGACGATTTTTTTAATAAAATAATGTATCGTTCTGATGTTCATAACCTCAATCTACGTTTTTGTGGTCGTATCTCACCTCCAATACATAATACTGCTATTTTCAGACGGTCTTTCACTTATAATATTTATGCAATGTACAAGGTTATCCCACAACATTTTAAAGAAATGTCTGTAAGTAAATTTAAAAAATTTTACAAAAAGTTTCTTCTTGACACAGCAGAGTGATAGCTACTTTTTAGAATGTTTATACTTTTTTTCTCACTATCATTTGTGTTTATATTTATATTGTTTTTTGTACGATGTCCTGTGGCGTTGGTAATACTCAGGGCTGGTGCTTTGATCAGTATCCACTGTTCACCAGTCCTTTTTGCAGCCTTCTTTGGCACTTTTTTTCTGAATATTTTTATATGTATAAAAAACTGGAAGTTATTATTATTATTATTATTTGCGGAAGTTTTTTTACAGATGCACCGGACATTATACGTATTTATTTTTGAAGGTGGTTGCTATTTGTGGCATCTTTGGCTCTTGTAGAAGATGTGAATTGTGCGATTTACGCTTAGATGATAAATAAATTTTTTGAAAAATTTCTCAGAAATATTTTATTTGACATTACAAGGCACTCCTGTCAGATCAATATTTAAAAAGTTGGCATTTAGACATTACGTTTCTCGGGTTGTTGATGTTGCCATGGTAACTTTAAAGTTCGTTTTAAACACGCTGAGGCGTACTTTAAATAAGTAAAATAGGGTACCAACAAAAAAAGTCATAATCGTCTTAATGCAACTTATGTCAAACCTGAAATAAAAGTGTGCATAAATTTAAAATATATATGTAAAGAGTTTCAGGATTATATCGATAATGAAAAAGTATTTCCAGCTGCTTGCGGTGTAAAAAATACAACTTTACAAAAAAAAAATATCGGGTCAAAAATATTGTAAAATTTCATACTTAAGAATAATCTTTAGTCAATGCAATTATTTGTTACACTTTACTATTTTTTGTTTTTCTTTTCTCTCGGATTTCTGATTCAACCCTACTGACATGCTAGCTAGATTATTATTCAGGAATAGACAGGTTGATAACGATTTTGACGAATCGGGTGATGTAAATCGTTTTAAAAAGATTTAAATCTTAAAAAAGATTTAAATCTTTAAGAAAATTTAAATTATTTTAAAAAGATCGCATCATTTTACAGATTTAAATCATTTCAGAAAGATTTAAATCAATAAAAAGATTTAAATCGCTTTAAAAAGATTTAAATCTAATTTTTAAATGAAAAATCAAAGATACTTTTCAGAAATATTTTAATCATAAATCAAAAATCATTTTTTAAAAAAAGATTTAAAATCAAAGTATTTAAATCAAAAAATGATTTAAATCTCACTGATAGGTGTTGTATATACAAGAGTCGGCCTAAGTCTGGCAACGCTCGAAAAATCCGTATGTCTGGCCAAAGTTATCTGGAAATGCATGCTCGAAGATTTACGTAGGCAAATGGACAACGATTCAACACTCGCAAACATCCGTCTTTACATGCAGGATGAAGCTTCGCCGCACTACGCGTTATGTGTGCGAGAGTTCCTTAATGATCATTTTGGAGAATGGATAGGTAGACGAGGAATCTTTGAGTGGCCCACACGGTCCTGTGACCTGACACCCTGCGATTTCTTCATGTGGGGCCTTCTCAAGGACCGCGTTTTTGCAAGAGGACCACGCACTCTTCCCGAGCTTCGAACTGCAATTGAAGAAAAATGTTAAAATCTTCGTGGACACCTTAACATGCTTCGCTTGACCTGTCTCTCTGTTGCGAAACGTTGCCGTCAATGCATTGATCAAGATAGGCATCAATTTGAACACTTAAACTAACCCTTTTTCGAATCCCCTTTGTAATTTCTTCGAATAAATAAATTTTGACGCTGCATTTTTTTATGCAATTTGTTGCCGACCCCTGTAATATGTGCAGTCATTCCTATTAGTTAGCCCATTTGTACATATCGGACGGATACATCAGACAAATGAATTTGGAGAAGAGAGTATTTTCAATTAATGTGAATGTCAACTCGCACTGATTCGTATCGAACGTATCCCATGAACGAAAATGCGTTGAGGATAATTGAAAGATAACTGAATCTATCAAGTCGATAAGTGCTGTGAGGGCTTGTATGAAAACAGATAAGATCCGGTCGTATTTCGATTGCACTGTACAGAAATACGGAAAGCCGATCCGAATCTATATGCGATGTCTACAAGAAAATTACGAGTCCTCCGATGCCCCATCTGTTGCGTCCAATACGATCAGATGCGCGCTTACATTAAGGTTGGCGTTCGCCCATATAAATCCGCCGTATATGCGCGGTTTACTTTAAACGTAGCTTCCTGGCATTACTTTCAATATTGGAAACCGTTCATGAAGAGTGCCTAGGGGTTGTAAAGACGTCTTAAGAAACGGCCCAGATAGCACACCAAATCCTTTGGATATCTACTGCACATCCCAATATCCACTGAATGTCCAGTCCATGGTGGATATCTATTTTATATCCATGATATGTAATTTATAGACATGCAAATGTCCATAAATAATAGTAATTATATAGCAAATTATTAAAAAATTACGCCATTGTGGCTAATAGTACCGTTCAGATATTTAAAATTAATTTTTTTAAGGTGTATTCAATATCCCATGGACATCCACTAAATATATCAAAGTCTAGGCGCGAACGCAAACCATCGTGGATATCCACTAGATGTTATTTGATTTTGCTTACTAAGTATAGATGGCGATACCACTTTCGCATCTACTCATGCTCGACCCTCCGTATTGAATTCGATCGAAATTTGTGTCCTAATCAGACTCCATTAGAGACTGGAGTCGAGAATTTCCATTTATTGCTGAAGAGTCCTAATAAGGATGACTTTCTCCTTAGTGGGCAAAATCAAAGGCAGAGTGTTGAAAATATTTTTTATCTCTGCTATTTTCTTTCGACGTTATTCAATAATCATTGGTTACTTATGAACCCCTACTAAAGATAAAATATGTTGCTGAATATCCGAATATCTTCTATATCCTGACCCAGACAGCACACCAAATCCTTTGGATATCTAATGAACATCCCAATATCCACTGAATGTCCAGTCCATGGTGGATATCTATTTTATATCCATGAAATGTAATTTATAGACATGCAAATGTCCATAAATAATAGTAATTATATAGCAAATTATTAAAAAATTACGCCATTGTGGCTAATAGTACCGTTCAGATATTTAAAATTAATTTTTTTAAGGTGTATTCTATATCCCATGGACATCCACTATAAATATAAATATATCAAAGTCTAAGCGCGGACGCAAACCATCGTGGATATCTACTAGATGTAATTTTTGATTTTGCTTCCTAAGTATAGATGGCGATACCACTTTCGTATCTACTTATGCTCAACCCGCCGTAAATGAGTTCGATCGAATTTTTTTGGCAATCACACTCTATTAGAGATTGGAGTCGAGAATTTCCATTTATTGCTGAAGATTCCTAATAAGGATGACTTTCTCCTTAGTGCCCTTATAGTGGGCAAAATCAAAGGCAGATTGTTGGAAATATTTTTTATCTCTATTTTCTTTCGAGGTTATTCAATAATCATTGGTTACTTATGAACCTCTACTAAAGATACCTATAAAATATTTTGCTGAATATCTGAATTCTATATCCATATTGGATATCCACAAAATATATTCTGTGGATATCTCTGGGATTTCTTGTATTGTCTGGAAGATACTCATTAGCTATTTTGCTGAATATCCATAGAATATCTTCTATATTCTGGATATAGACGGACATTTGGATATCCATATTAGATCCACGGAATATTTCTGATATCCTGTGGATATATTGGATATCCACAAAAGATATTCTGTGGATATCTCTGGGATTTGGTGTGTTGTCTGGGGAGATATAGACGGACATTTGGTTGGATATCCATATTGGATATATTGAATATCCACAAAATATATTCTGTGGATATCTCTGGAATTTCTTGTATTTTCTGGAAGATACCCATTAGATATTTTGCTGGATATCCATTAGGATATCTTCTATATTCTGGATATAGACGGACATTTGGATATCCATATTAGATCCACGGAATATTTCTGATATCCTGTGGATATATTGGATATCCACAAAAGATATTCTGTGGATATCTCTGGGATTTGGTGTGTTGTCTGGGGGAGTTGTTTTAATATTTTTGATATCTAAACCACATGTGCCTTATCATTGACTTACCTAGGAATTTTCTTTAAAACTAAACATATTTACATGTTTTCTTTACGTTTCAACCCCTACAATTAACAAATGATGAAACACGTCACACTTTAAAATATTGTTTAGTTTTCTTGATTGTTATATTTAAAATTACAGATTTTTTTTATGAAAATACAATTATTTGTATGTGATATATCACGTGACATAGTGGAACGTTACATAGTTAAAAACATTTTTAAGTGTTTTCCTTTAACGATTTTGTAAAAAAAAGCGAAATTGTCCAGATAAACAGTTTTCGAGATATGGCCAGACGCCGCCCTAAAAAAAAGGATGTAATTTTCATCAGCGTTTCATTACTTATGGATAAGGAGATGTTAAGGTAAAAATACAGCTCAGGAGCTTGGCCCCTTTAACGGATAGTTAAATACAGGGACAAAACCCTAACGTAAACATATATAATAAAATACCGGGCACAAATAAACTACATTTATATATAAAAAATTTATTTGAAAAGAAAACATAATGCATTTAAAAGTAACACTATAAAAAGTCGTAAAAGGCAACGGGGCACCTCATTTAACATATAATTAACTAATTACAGCCTGTCCTAAACCAAGTTTGATAGAATTTCGAACAGAAAACGTTCAAAAACAAACATTTGATTGGGACTTTTTTACATAAATTCAGAAAACAATAATCTGTGACATTGTATGTATATTTCACACAATATTAGTGTGACGTAATTAGGCATTCCAAAGAAAATGGCTGCCAGTGGGTTTTGACAGATTATAAAAAGGTAACCCTGTGAACCTGGTGATTTGACATATGGTCAATGATATAGATAGTTATATAGACAAAATAAACATAAGCTTAAGTCTTCAAGTAAAAATGTAGGTATTTTTTTATATATTGAAAGGTTGGAAATTGGTTTTAAAACACATTTTTCATAAACCGATTCTAATTAGTATAACTATATTTCATTAACAACAAGCCTACAGGGTTGCCCTATCTAAACTGTAAGTTCTCACCACGATATTTTCATCTGTTCCCACTTATCAGCATTCTGACAGATCGTTGGAATGCCTAATTTTGGTTCCACTGACAGTTAACTTCTAATAAAACTTTTAACAAAAACATTGAATTTGACATTCAAATAAAGTTTCCAGTTAAATCAAAATTACTAATTTAGCGTTGAAAAATGTCGGGAATGTGTAACTGAGTCACGATACAAAAAATTAGAGTTCTCGCATGACGTATTGTGGTGTGGAATATGACTGGCCTTGAGCAGATTAAAATTTGTTTTCGCGCGCTGTTTTCGATCAGCTTACCTCAAATTCGTAAAAGCCACACCACAATACGTCATTGTGAAGTAGTATATCAATCTTTTTATAGTATCACGTAACAGAGTTTGCCATTTATTGAAAGAATTCCTTTCATTATCCAAATAAAATGTTTAAAATACATAATTGTTGTTTTACACTATATTATATTTCAGATCATTTGTCTCAGAGGTAAATTACGATACTAAAATTTTTGCGGTAAATTATTATAATCATTGATTTCTTTTGAACCTGTTTAAATATTTACTCAGCGGCATCATTTTTCGGAAGCAGAATATAACTAAATAAAAAAACGTATACGATGGTAATCGCGAACAATTTCCAAGTTATACAATAGATGAGGCGGAAAAATCTATACAAATTTTATAGCCATTCTATTACACATTTCTGACATTTTCTACTGCGTATAATTGACGGATTCAAACTTATCATCTTCAATACCGACAACGATTAATAAAACCTATTCGAAAATCTATCAAATTTAGACTTTCCGAGTTCCTGCTATTATTCCAATCCATTATCGTTCTCAGTCTTGCACTCAGTAGTCGAATGGGTCTTCCTGTGTTGTTGCAGGCTGTCTCTCCTATTAAATGTGCTATTACAAATCGTACAAGTGAAGGTTTTGTTTACGTCGTGAATACGCATGTGCCTCATCATCTTATCTTTACGGCCGAAGCTTTTGTTACATCTTAAAAAAAAAAAAAGATTTGTAAAAATGTTAAACTGCAATGGGATTCTCATCTTTCGATACGTCACGTATCGAGACGCCTATCTTCGTCCGACAAACTGCGATTCTTATGTAATGTCTCTCTCTATTCGAGTTCGTACATAAGAATCACTGTGCTGTCCTAAGAAGGCGTGGTCAAAAGTATATTTTGACAAAGCATGTGTAAAATGAAGAAACAGCAAAAAATATATAAAAGAAAGTCTGCAGAATGCGTCTTTAAGAGGCGAAATTAATGAAAAGTCTTTGAAACGTCAAATATCAATTTCAAAAGTCCGATATCGTTCAATTTCCAGCGACTTTTTTGTTTATAAAAGTAAAAATCTATCATCTATGATTACCTCTTTCACTTAAAAAAATTATTTAAATTCTTTCCAACTTACCGTGGACACTTGAAAGGTTTCATCCCCGAATGGGTGGCGATGTGCCTGTCAAGCTCCCTCTTACGGATAAATGATTTACTACAGATGTGACAGCCGAAAGGTCTCGTTCCCGAATGAATACTCTGATGTGACAGTAGATTTTCGGCCTTTGAAAACCGTTTTGTACACTGAGAACACCTTGAAAGAAGAATGAGGGTATTAATTATACATTTAAATATGGAATAAGAGATTATCTTATCTCAAATGTAGTCGGTTGTGAAGTAAGAAAAACATAAAATCAATAAAATATAAAAATAAATCACATTGTCGCGACCAGTTTCGGACTAACGTGGCCATCATCAGACCTACAATACAAAAAATACAATATATGTAAAGATTTAAAATTACAAACAACAATAAAAGGTTTATATACATTATTAGAGCTTCTTAAAAAGTAAAAAATTTATTAAATCCGAAATCCATCCCATGAGTAGTACAACAGCAATAAAATTAAGGAGGAAATTTAAGCAAATATATTGAAAAAATTGTGATGGGGCAAAAATGTAACTAATAACACCAGAAAAATAACAGGAAATACTGAATACGTTTCAAATTCCAGGGGACTTTTCCAGTGTTGAACTGAGCTTTCGAAGTAGGTCGAACAATCAGCAAGTTAACGGAATTGTCTTTATATGTTGACAAGGTAAGAAGCAGGAATGTTAAGTGAATCAAACGGGCTGATGATTTACTTGTGAAGAAAGGCGAAAAAAAAATTATCGTCAAAACATTTTTCTAGTATAAATTGTTACATTCTTACCATGCCACAATTTTTTCAATACATTTGCTAAAAAATTCCTCATTAATTTTATTCCTTTTCAACCATCGACAAGATGGATTTCGGATTTAATGAAATTTGTACTATTTAAGAAACTAATTATGTAAATAAACCTTTTATTGTTGTTTTACATTTTTAATTGTTAAGTATTTTTGTATTTTTTGTATTGTAGGTCTGATGATGGCTATGTTAGACTGAAACTAGCCGCGACAATCTGATTTAATTAAAAAAATTATATTGTGTCGTTTTCTTACTGGTGCCTAAATAATATTTACCTAAAAGGTTTTTCTCTATTTGTACTGCCCTCCTTCGAATTTGTTTCAGGTACTGAACTATCATATTCTATAATCTCATCCATGAGACTTTCTGAACGCGATTCATTTTTGACGTCGCCGGTGATATTTTCTAAGTGAGGTTCATTTTCCGAGGTATCTCCCCTCTGCGGTGTACTTTCGGATTGATAATTATTGTGATTAAAAGGATCTAAGTTGATAACCATATTTTCTAAACATAAAAAATGTATATGTGTACAAAATAATAAAAGGATGGTTCTATAAAAAAGTGCAGGCCACAGTTAAAATTCAGTACAGGTAGTGGTATTTTAAATGGGAAAAGGATCAACTGTGTTGCCAGCTCCACATTTAAAAATTTGTTTAGCTAAATAATAACACCCAAATATACAAAGTGTGATCGGTTATTAATATTGAATGGTAAAAATAACCTACACTGATGTAGAGGTAAGCCTTTTGGTTTGAAAATACTGTAGGTATTCAATTTTATTTTTATAATGCCGCTCTTGATTTACACTAAAGAGGAAAAGCTACAAATTTTAAAATAGTAATTCTGTGAACAACGCAATACATTTATTTATTAGGGCATATGAAAATCGGTAAATTAAAAAAAATATTAAAATAATGATGAATCTACAATCTGCAGTGAGAAGAGGATGAATACAGTATGGTATTCTAGGTTGGTATTCTAGGTTGGGGTGCTGCTGCGAAAACATATTTAAATCCAGTCAATATTCTTCAAAGGAAGATATTGAAAATTATTTACGGCAAAAAAAATATTTTTCCGACGGAAGTACTGTTTCAAGAAGCAAGAGTTTTAAACCTACGAAAACTGTATGCTTATAACTCCGTGGTTTTTCTTTATAAAAATAAACATTTACTAAAAGGACTTGAACACAAGTACTTAACAAAAAACAAGGAAAAAGTGTGTATCCAAATACCCTTATTTAAAAAAACCATAGGTCAGCGTTCACATCTACATATGTCTCTAAAGATTTATAACTTTCTACCTGAAATGTATAAAACATACATATGCACATTAAACTCGATAGGTCTAATTAAATCTATATTTAAAATTTTTTTTATTCATTATGATACTAAATCAATAGAATTATTGTTTGCAGTATGATCTAATATCACAAAAGATGAGTAACAATTTATCATAAAGTTAAGTATTAGTATCGAACATTGCCTTACAAAAAAAAAATGTTTTAATATTTCTTCTTCGTTTACCTATTGGTTTTCATTTCTTTTTTATATTTTATTTGAAATTTTAAAGTTCACTTATTGTGCTTAAAACCAAAATTGTGTTCTTGTTAAAATTGATTTTATTGATATTTTAATTGTATTTTCTTTATATTTAAACTGTTTTTTTTTTAATTGATATTTTAATAATTGTTTTGTTATTGATATCTTAATTTCTATATTTAATTATTTAGATAATAGGACTTTATAATATACTTATAAGGTGCTACACTCTAGTTAAAATAAATTAAAAACGATTATTTTAATAAACTATAAATGCCCATGCTCAGCCAGTAGTGGCTCTAATGGGCTTGTCTTTTGTTTATATTTGTCTAATTACTATACTATATTATTGATAAATGAATGTACTTTTTTGCAAAATAAACATTATTATTATTATTATTATTATTATTAAAAATTGATGAAGAGCGTGAACATCAAGAACTTGTTAATTCAAGTTATTATTAGGCCCAAAACTACACGGAATATACTGAAAAAAAAAATGGATAGCATTGCTTAAAGCCTAGCAAATTAAAGATATTTTCCCCAGGACAATTTTAGTCGGATGGAGTTTCGTGAAATTATAACGAATCGGCAAAATCAAAATGAACTTTTATTTACTGACGAGTGAGTTATGTGGCAATGGCATTTGCACGATTTTGAAGTCGGTTTTTAAAATGACTTTTTTTAATACTTGTCTCTAATCGATTTTTTTTGCTGTCGATTATTTACATTCTGTACTTCTTACTATCGATTCATTTTACAACCAATTTTTTTAAAATGGATACTTTTCAATTAATTTTTTAAAATCATACATTTTACATTCGATTATTTTTACCTGTCAATAATTTTTTAAATTGATTCGTTTTACACTGGATTTTATAGAATCGATTCTTTTTTTCGATTCGACTCATTTTTCCGATTCTTTTCCTAATTGATTCTATTTTACCGTCCATTTTTTTACAATAGATCAAAATGGAAATGCAACTTATGAGGGAAGTAGATTCTTATTCACACACGTGTTAAATGGGGCACTTTCCAAAGGACTAATCAATGCGAATAGGGCTAGAAATTGAACATTTCTGATGTAGAATGTAGACAGACGTTGAACAGTACTTTGGTAGTTGGAGAGGTGGTAAAGGTCGAATCCAGTCTGATGATTTTGAGAATCTAGCAGTAATGTTTGTCGTATCGTAGAATAAAAATATTAATCATTTTAAATTGTTATAGGGGTAGAGATAGGCAGTCATATGTATTTATGAACTAGAAATAATTATTTAAATAAGTATTATAATATCCCAAATCACTACTATACAAAATTTCTACAGTTATTCATAATTTATTAAAGTATTTATGTAATAGATCCTGTATACGATGTCTTATAGCGGTATCCAGGGAAATAGATTAGATGGACGTGTGATGAGAATTGTCATTGTATTAAACTTGATCTAATAAAAATATTTATTCTGAGTATTATTTAGAAGATTCCTAAACAATTCCTTACAATATGGCGCAGTCAGAAAAACGAACCAATTATCCAGATCAACTATGAAAAAGGAGATGAAGGTACCCAAGACAACATTATTTTTGGAAAAAATGAGTTGGATCAGCTAATGACAAAATGGATGACGTTTGCCACTTCAACTAAAGCAGATCCCATAAAAATTTCTCAATACGACGGTCAAGGTGAGAATCCTTCTTCTTGGCTCAGTTCGTATGAATATATCTGTTCATATAATAAATGGATTACCGATAATGAGAAAATTTTTAATTTGAGAAATCAGTTAAAAGGCATTGCATTAAAATGGTACGAAGATAAAATCCAAGATAGTATACTAAATCAATATACATGGGAAAATTGGAAACTTAGTTTTATCAAGATATTTGATGAAAATGTTGTTTTAAAATGGGAGAAAGCTTTGAATTATAAATATTATAATAGTAATATCCTGGAATACTTTTACGAAAAACAGAAATTAATTAAATGGGCAGATAATAACATTTCTGAACTTTCATTAGTGGCAATGATAATTCTGGGTCTGCCAGTTAATGTTCAGAAACAGTTAAGAGGAAAAATCATCAACTCCAAAGAAGAACTTCTTCAGCTGCTAAAATCCTTAATGATTGGTGAATATCCTGATAAACAGTGGCCAAGAAGAGATTTTCAAATGCAAGGTCAGCCAATAAGTACCAATAAAAAAGACATTAAATGTGAAACTAAAAATGTGTTTAATTCTAGTACTGTTGAATTTGAAGATCAAATAAATAATATTGAGATGTATTCTAGTTATTCACTAACAAGTGGAGATAATTTTGAGTATTTATTTTTAAATGGCCAAAAAGTGAAAGTACTGTTTGATACTGGATCAGATATTAATCTGATAGATGAGGAATTAGTTAATAAAAACAAATTTCCTATTCATGAAGTAAATATTTGCATAAGGAGCTTAGCTGGAATAACCAAATGTTTTTTTAGTGCTGAAGTAACTATTGAAATCAATAAACTGCCCACAACTTTTATGGCCGCAGTAGTGAAAGATTTGAATTTTGACATACTTCTAGGACGCCATTTACTAAATAAATTGAAAATATATAAACTGAATTTGAACTTAGAAAAAGAAATTAAATTTACAGAAGATAATATATCCAAAAGATTTCCGAATTTGCTAAAATATAATGATGCGAAACCATCAATCTTTGAGATAGATTTTAATTTAAAAGAAAATGCAAAAATTATTAAGCTGAAACCTTATCGATATTCAGAAAACAAAAGAACATGGATAAAAAATAAGGTTAATGAGTTGCTTAAAAACAAAATAATTACAAAGTCAATATCTCCTTTTGCTTCTCCATGTGTTTTGAACACAAAATCTAATGGGGATTTTCGCCTGTGTATTGATTATAGGAAAATTAATGAGGAAACTGAATTAGATCCATTCCCATTTCCAATCGGTGATGAAATCATTCAAAAATTCGGTGGATGTAAATTTTTCTCAAAATTTGATCTGAAGGATGGTTTTTGGAATATAAGTATATCTAAATTAACGCAGAAGTATACGGCGTTTGTAACAGAAGATGGGCATTATGAATTCACAAGGCTTCCTTTTGGATGGAAAAACTCAAGTGCACATTTTCAAAGAATAATGCAGGAAGCTTTAGGTGAACTACTCGATAAGAATGTAGTAGTCTTCATCGATGACATAATGTGTGGAGGTTTCACTTATGACGAGTGTGCTAAGCTTTCGACAGAAGTTATGGAAAAACTTAATAGATACAACTTTAAAATAAATCTAACGAAATGTAAATTTTGTGTTCCCAAAATTGTGTTTCTTGGTAGGGAAATTGATGGTGATATCAAGAAGATGAAAAATGAATCTATTGAAAAGGTAAAAAATATGAAAAAACCCTATGATTTAAAATCTTTGCAGTGTTTTATTGGATTAACAAACCATTTTAGGCATTTTATAAAAGACTATGCGAAAATTGTACGACCACTTGACAGATTAAAATGTAAAAATACGAAATTTATTTGGACTGATGAATGTGAAAAATCTTTTATAACATTGATAGAATTGATAACATCAGAACCAATTCTAAGAATACCAGATCCTAGGTTAAAATTTGAGCTTAGTACTGATAGTTCTTATTTTGGTTGTGGGGCTATTCTATACCAAAGAGATGAGGAACAGATAAAAAATAAACAACTTAGAGTAATTTCCTACTATTCCTACACCTTTAATAAACATGAACAAAATTATTCTGTTACAGAAAAAGAATGTCTTGCGGTTGTAAAAGCAGTAAAACATTTTAGAACTTTGTTGGAATCAAGAAAATTTGTAGTACATACTGATCATCGAGCATTAAAATATATTTTGTCAACAGGTGCTTTAAGAGATAGGTTAGCCCGATGGCAAATATTTTTAAGCAGTTTCGATATGATAGTGAACCACAAACCCTGCAAAGAACTAGAAGACAGTGATGCAATTTCCAGATTGTGCGTGGATTTTCCTGAAAAGGTGAAGGAAACATTTTGGTGTAATTTGAATATACACGATTTGGAAAAACAAGAGGATGGAAGGTTTTTTGTAAAGAATGCAGATATAAAGACAGACATTTTACAATCTTACCATGATGATCCTGATTCTGGAGGCCATGATGGATATTACAAAACATACTATAAGATAAGTAAGCGGTTTGTTTGGAAAGGATTAAGTAAGGATATTAAATACTACATAAAAACTTGTGAAATATGTCAAAAAGTAAAATTTAAATATTATCCCAAACCAAATTATACACATCTAACATCCTGTTCGCAGAATCCCTATGAAAAGGTTCATATTGACTTTGCGGAGATAGAAAAAAAATCAGATTTAAACAGAACTACAAAATCATTTAGTATTCTGATAGATGAAGCCACTAGACATGTAAGTGCCAAGGCAATAAAAGAAAGTGGTGATGCTTTGAAAAGCTATTTTAGTAAACTTTCTTTCCTAAATGATATGAAAACAGTCGTCACAGACTGTGCACCTGCTCTAACATCTGGAACATTTAAAGAATGGGCTGTATTGAAGGGGATAGAACTAGTCCATACTTCTCCTTACCATCCGGCTGGAAACGGATTAGCGGAACGAACTGTTAGAGAAATAAAAACATACATGCATTGTTATAAGGATTTTAGGGGTGGTTGGAAAAAATGCCTTGAAGCCGCCGTGCGACACCACAATTATTCCCATAATGAATTCCTGGGATGTTCACCTAATTACAAATTGTTTGGAAAGAGTACAATCCTAAATGCTGATAAAAAATTTAATATAAATGGACCCCTTAAAGAATTTCCTAGATCTTTAGAAGAACAATTAAAATATAAAAAAAACATTCAGAAACAAGCAAATAAAAATAAGAAAATCCTTCCCCCGAACGTGAAAGTGAATGATTTTATTTTAGTAAGAAGTCAAAAAATAGGGAAAAATTTTGTCGTAAAGGGACCCTTTAAAGTCATAGGTACAAAGTACATGGAAGGAGTTTTAACTTATGTCCACTACGTAAATGACCAAAAGGAAGAAGTTGCCCATGCATCAAACCTAAGAGTATATCATCACAGGAGTGATGAATTTTTGAAGGAGGGGGCGTGTTGTAATAGATCATCCTGTATACGATGTCTTATAGCGGTATCCAGGGAAATAGATTAGATGGACGTGTGATGAGAATTGTCATTGTATTAAACTTGATCTAATAAAAATATTTATTCTGAGTATTATTTAGAAGATTCCTAAACAATTCCTTACAATTTACATGAATACCTATACGAAATTGTTATTAGCACCTATAAAATAATTTTATACTCGTTCAGTTCTGAGAAAAAGCTGTTCAACTTCTGTCTGCCTTCTATATAAGCAACCCGGCGCACTATAAAAAACCTATTCTGAATTTTAACTGTGACCCACAAGTATATCATATTTTTCAAACAAGATCCAAAGTTCTTAAAATAGGAATATTTTTAAATTATGCATGCTTGAAATATTCTAGAGCCTCACTGCACGTGGACCGAAAAATTTGTAAAGTTACAATATATATTGAATTACCTTCTTGTTTTTCTTCGTCTTTCAGTCTATCACTTGCTGCAGAAAATATAGACAAATTTTCTCTCATTATTTGCAATTCTTGCGATTTATCTTCTGAATTTTCTTGTGGAAAATGCCTCTTTTCGTGCCTTTGCAATTTATCCCGCCGTCCAAAATTCAAGTGACAATAACTACAACTAAAAATTGGATGTAGAGGGTGATACGGTAACATTCAAATTATCAAATTTAAATTTAAACTTACCTAAAAGGTTTCTGTCCGCTGTGAATAACCGCGTGTCTTGACAGATCAGCCTTGGACGTGAACGTTTTCGGACATTTTGGACAAACGAACGGTTTCGTTCCAGAATGAATTCTCATGTGTTTTGATAGATTGGTATTTCTTGAAAATGATTTGAAGCACAAAGTGCAGGTAAACGGTTTTACACCTGTGTGCACTATGGTATGTTTACGTAAATCGGATCGCCTGGAATATAAAAATAATTAATTATTGTTTCTTAGACTTCAACATAAACGTTAATTATTTTTGTGCTTTTACGACTACATTAACGTACTGTATATATTTTATTACATGAACGTACTGTTTACTTACCTAGCGAACGTTCTGTCACACTGCGGGCAATTGTACGGCTTATCATTCTTGTGGACGCTCTTCAGATGTGCAGAATACACTACCCTATCAGCGAAACTCATATAGCACGTTCCGCAACTGTATGGCGTCTCGCTGTTATGAGCATTCATTTCGTGGCTGTAACATTCTGCGCTGTCAGTGAAAGCGTGGTCGCAATACTTGCACATTGTCACTCCTCGACTTTCGGGCTCGGGTTCTTGTTCCGGTTCTGCGTCGTTGTTCAAGGATTCCCCATTCTCGTTATCGCTCAGAACCGCGGGTTCCTTGTCGGACTCACAATCTGATTCATAGTCGTATGCCATAGGGTCGACCACCATTACTACGTTTTCATCCCCTAAAACATAAAAAATGTCTTATTCAGCTCTTAATTTCTGCAGTTTGATTGTGACTATTCAATTTTATAGTTTGACCCATGTAGAAGTATTTGTTGACATGCTATATGTTCTTTTGTAAGACAGTGATTATTAATTCATCTATTTGTATACCATTCACGTGACTACCAGTAAGAGTTTAAAGTATGAGTTGCCTATTTTATTTTATAAATGTTCAATTTATTTCCTTACCATTTTGTACCAATAATTCAGAAGATCCATTCTCTTTGGCTGCTCCAAGTTGACGTAGGGTAGCATCAGACATAAAACACAACTGACGAAACTCGAGACAGAATTCAATTTTGTACAAACATCTGTGGCAAATAACATTTGGCAATCCATCTCCATGAGAAATCTGTAAAAGGGAGCATATTCTTAAAATGTTCTAAAAAACATGTTAAATAAAGATACCAAAACAAACTGTTTTTATTATTATCACCACTGGTGACGAATCATGGATATGTAGGCATACAATAGTTATGATCCAGTAACGAAGTAGCAATTTAAAGTATGGTGTAACCAAATGTTAGCATATCGTCGTATTTTGGTGGGTAATGCATGACATTACGCAGATTGATACTATACGTAATGTGGTGGAAGGGCGTGGCTTTTACGAATTTGACGTATTAGCTGATCGAAAACAATGCACGAAAATAAATTTTAATCGGCTCATGGCCAATATTCCACACCACAATACGTCATGCGTGAACTCGATGAGATTTTGATGGCTAATAGGCCTTTTCATCATGTGATGAGCGCAAGCACAGCCGCCATATTAAAATAGCGCCAATTCAAAAGTTTCGGACTGCTTTGATCAACAATGGCTGGAAAATCAATATTATCTCTACATACAAATCAATCATTAAAAAAAAATCGTTGATGGTGATGTACATTTTTATAACTCTGTGGAAGCACATAGTTGTGAGCAATTAAAAAGGTTCTTGAAGTGACGTGGACGTTCGGAAAAAGTAAGAAAGTGTGGTGATTGAGAGGTTAGGTTTCAATAGATATTAACTGTGTAAAAAATTAATGTAAACAAATAATAATCATAACTCTATTCTAATTAATTATGCCAATCAATATTAGTACTTGCAAAAACACTAACATGAAAGTTAATCACGAGTATAATTAATAAGATAAATTATTTAAAATTTTAAGGATCAACATGACATTTTTAATAATATTACTGTGTATACCGAAGCAGACAAGGAGTTTCTTCTGTTGAACCACTTTCTCCATGAAAATGTAGTGAACAAATATAAGTATCTTTAGTAACATCATCCATCAATCGATCGAAAACCTTTGTTACTTCGACCACATTTTTTTACTCATAAGTCATAATGCTCATTTTAAACATGTTTTAATATGTATTTTGCCTAATGATTTGATTGTTTTTTTACGATATTGCAGGCAAGTCTTTTTATAAAATAATAATTTATACCGTGTGTCACTTTTACATACTCATAACAATACCGTTTAGTTTTTCCTTTCCGTAAAGATAACCCAATTAATTGATTGCAAAAATTGATTTTTCAATTAAGACACTAATTACTTTACTTTTTTGTCCCATTTTTTAAACAAATACATTATTTAAAATTAATATTTATCGATTATAATTTTTTTCACGTGGGCATTTTAACATGCTTGTTTACAAAAAACAGTACGAAAAAGATGGCTGATACTGACGCATGCGCACAAAAAAAATTGTGCTGAAAAGGCCTATTATCATACTTGTTTTTTTGTATCATGGGTAATGCGATTCTAAAAATTAATAATTGAAGAGGGGGGTGGGTTGGCTTAGTGATTAGAGTCATGACTCTGAGATCGGAAGGTCTCAGGATCGAATCCCACCGGTGGCAGGAATTTTTATTTAATTAAAAAATTAAATATTAATTCTAATGCATAGGTAGGATTCCCCACTCGACCATTCACTGTTGGGTTCTAATTAACAGTGCTGTTCCTAAAGTGGCGCTGGGAAACAGTAACAAAGCCTACACAGAACACGAGGCTAATGGCCGTAGTAGTCGACGCCGATGACACCAAATTAAAAAAAAAAAAAAATAATTGAAGATTGGAAGCTTAGAAATTATATGACAGTTAGAACCTTTGTTGAGATGCTGATGGTATTTACAACCTTTTTAAGCCCATACTCCAAACAAATTGATATTGGCATTTACTTAGAGCCTTTGGTACTTCTAATCTTCAATTCTTATATATATAAAAAAATATAATCGGATAATTCGGTATACATTAAAACGGTTTTTATTTTTATTACATAATTATTATGCAGTATGTATGTAATATTTAGTAGAACCCCGTTTTTTTAACTACATATTTAATCCTACTAGATATGCAACCAAGAATACAAGTCTATTTTAGCACAAGTACCATCTGTGAAAAGCTGCAGTAACCATCAGAACACGTTGCCATATTTTAGAATAATAGAATAGGTGCACGTTTACAAACAAAAACCCTTTTTTTTAATTCTATAATTTAAATTTTATTCAACCTGATTTTATAATGGATTATTACGTTACATTAGGAAATAGAATAACTAAAATTTTAATTTTGGCAACGTTGTTCCAGTTTGACATAAACATGTGGCTTCGCTTGTCATGAGTCACGATTATCGATAAACCAGGAAACTCTTTATGAAGGTCAGTTCACATAATTACGTTTATGAATGTCAATATATCTCTCTTCGTCTATGAAAGTAGAACCAACAGAAATAGAAACTTTTTTGAAAGTGCAAAATATGTGGGAAAGGGTTTTTTTGTAAATTTGGACATTTTAAAAATATGTATTAATAATGGGTTTATGTTAAATTAAATGGTTTTAAAAAATGAGTTAAAATACGTCAAGTGATGTGGTGATTGTGTAATTTACGTCAAAATAACTTACTTGTAAAGCTGTACAATCGATAATTTTCTTATAAATGCTCCTATCCTTGCCTTGAATCTGATTAAAAATTCCCAACATGAAGCCATCCTTCTGTAAGCACAATCTGCATATAGTTGAATAACCTCGCCAAGTCTCCATATTTCCTCTTAGAGTTCACCTTCTCGTTAGTGCAGTGCTAGGGTTCCAATTCCAAATAAGGTGACATAGAAACAAATACACGATTTGTCAAGTTTGTTTAAGTTGTCGCTCGAAGTTCTTGGCAACGGTGGGCCGCGGGCCGTGGGGCGCTTTTGCGGGCCTTCGAACACAACTGAGGCCCGAGTCGGGGCGGATATGGGCGAGATGCGCGTGGCCCCTTTCTACGGGTGCTCCGGCTACAGGCAGGTGATACGGTTAGGATTTTATAACTTTTGGCGGCTCGTTTGAATGCCGATACCTGAATGTCGACAAGGGGGCTGTTGTAATCGACGGTTTAGATAAGGGGACGTTAAAGAGGTGATTATCCCGCCAAAATAAAGCAATTGAAATTGAATTATAATACCTTTTACAGCAAATTAAAAATAAAATGACTCATTTATACAGGGTTAAGTGCAAATTAAATTTAAGTTTCTCATTGTTACAGGTTACATAGGCTTGCCAGACGTCCGTTATTTTTGGGACGTCCCGTTTGTCCGGTCCGTTATGTTTTTCGTGTCCGTTATTTTTTAATCTATTGCTAAATCATCCTAAATCCAATCCTGCGTACACTGTAGGTACGATACGTAGTAAATATTAATTAAAAAAAAAAGTTAGGTCACCAAACTCCTATTTTAAAATACTCTTTAGCTAAGGCCTTTGACCTTGAAACCCCATAAACATTTCACCTGTGGCGTTTTTTTTAACCCTACAATATGTCCGTTTTTTTCTTTCATGGAATCTGGCAAGGCTAAGGTTACAGCCCAAGTTCATTTACAAAACTTACTGAAATATATTTATATTATTTTATTTAGAAGCCTCCATACCAAAACCATAGCCTATGCTAAAATGATGAGTTTATATAGGAGTTTAAAATAAAATAAATAAAAATACCATTTATGAAAAAATAAAGTTTAAATAAAATTTTTCTATCAAACTATTTTCAGGATACTAAAACTATAATAATGTATGTACTATACGTTTCAAAAATATTATATTTTTATTGAATATTTTATATTTTTTGTAATAAATCTCCACCTACTTACCTATACAGGGTGGTCCGTAATGATATGCGAATATTTAAACAGGGTGTAAATCTACATGAAAAATTAGTAATAGTTTGCTTTATAAACTATGGTCCATGTAATTTTTTTTAATTCTTCAATAATTACAATAATTTTCTTGAACAATACAACAGTTTCTATTTTTTTTTATTCAAAAACGGAGCAAGGTAGAAAAACAATTTAAGTTTAAAATTGAAGGGGGAATTTAAAAATAATTTTTATTTGGGATTAATCCATTGGCGTCCCATTTTTTCTTCAAAAATATTGGTACTACTGCCCGTACGTACGTCTTTGTTAAAGCTGAAAATTATTTTTGTATTGAAAAATATGCACCATTATGAACTGTCACTGAATATTAAATTTCATTGAAATATCTTAGCTTAGCACCCTTTATTTCATATCGGAACATTTTTGGACCATAGCATACTATCATTAATTTTGTAAATTCACACCCTTAAATATTCGCATATCATTCAGGAACACCCTGTATATACTCTTAATCACATGCGTCGTTACACAATTCTATAGGGAGAGGCAAAGTTTGAAAATATTTAGAATGTTTATTTGTTAAAAAAACAAAGAAAATGAAAAATAAAAGAGCAATACAAATTAACAAAAGTTTCTAATAAATAAAAGAACCCAACAAAAAAGACAAAAACTAAAACACATATTTTTAAAAAACAAATAGAAGGTGTGATATAAAAGAAAAATATGAGAAGAATACATAATAATAATAATAATAATAAAAAAAAATATTTATAGAAACACAAAAACATAGAAAACTCCCTCAAACACGTCGACGAACACAAGGAAAACGCAAATTTTTAATTTCTTCTTCCTCTACCAAAACTAATCGATAACAGAAAATATGATTTCTTTTTAGTTTTCTGCAATTATTTTTCGATGTACGCTCATCATTCAAAGCCCAGTCAGCCTATTTTCATTAATTATTCGCTCTGTGCCTATACTGGCAATACAATTTTTAACAGAATTCGTAATTAAAAAATATATGTGTTGATTTTGATAAAAGTATATGGATTTGTAAAACAAGTGAAAAAATTAATTATTATATATTTTTATTACTTCAGCTAAAAAAAAGTAATATATTCAATAAAAACCAATAATAAAACATAGGCAGTCAACACTATTTACGAGAAAATGTATGATATGTTGCCTAAGCTTAATAAGTTGTCATTGAAGAATAGCTTAAATAATGTAAAAATAGAAACATTACCATTATACAGGGTGTTTCATTGGTAAATGGGCATATGTTAACTGGATATGGGGGTCACCTAGGTGGTTCCAAACAACCCATACTTCATGGGTCTGTCCCCCTTTATAACCGAGATACAGGGTGTTTTATCAATTTTTGCCGATTTCTTTCTAGACTTATAACTTTTGAAACACGCTGTATATTTTTTTGATATTTGGTATACAAGTACACCTTAATTTGTCAGATCTAGTGACGCATTAATAATAGGGAAAATCCAGATCCGGATTATCAAAAAATTTACAAATTCTTCGATACCTAAAACAACACCCTGTATATCATAATTTTGAATATCTGTTTACAGATTCGAAAAGAGTGTGTTCTGTGTATATGTTTGCCATAAAATATTAGTCGAGGGGTGAACCACTCCCAAAATACTGGTAGGTACGTTTTTACCACTGAACTGAAACTGTTCAGTCGTTTTTACAGAAAATCATCAAAATCGCTACAAAGTATCTCGAAAATTCAAGGGAGGCTTCAGGCCGAATTTTCGGAGGGGGGGCATTGTCATTAGCCCTGCGCTTTTTAGCATACTTTTTTTAATAAAAGGCTCATGGATTGTAAGAATTTTAATTTAAAGAAAAACATTTATCGATGGCTTAGAGCACAAATGTTGTATGTCCAAAAATGTCGTTTTGAGTAAAATCGATTTGAAAGTTGGAGGAATGGGCGTCGTTACACAATTTTATAGGGAGGGGCAAAATTTTGAAAAAATTTAGAATGTTTATTTGTTGAAAAACAAAGAAAATGAAAAATAAAAGAGCAATACAAATTAACAAAAGTTTCTAATAAATAAAATAACCCAACAAAAAAGACAAAACTAAAATAAAAAAAAATATAGGAAACTTAAAACACATTTTTAAAAAGCAAATAGAAGGAATAGAAGGTGTGAAATAAAAAAATATGAACAAGAAGACAGAGCCATACATATTAAAAAAAAACAAAATGTTTATAGAAACACAATAACAAAAAAACTCAATCAAACACGTCGATGAATACTAGGAAAACGCAAATTTTTAATTTCTTCTTCCTCTACCTAAAATAATCGATAACAGAAAATTCAATTTGTAAAAAATGACTCTAAGAAGGTTTAAAACAACAGAAATTTATTAAAAAACAGATGAAAAAGCTTGTTAGAACAAAACTAGTCCAAAAATATTTTGTATTTCGAAAAATCTCAAAAAGTGTTTAATTTACGAAAAACAAACGTTTTAAAATTCAATTTTTAAGAAATGACGCTAATTAGGTTTAGAATAACATAAATTTATTATAAAATAGATGAAAAAGCTTCTTAGCCAGATAAGTCTAATTAATTTTTTCTTTTTTCTTACCTTTTTTTATTTCTCACTATTTATATATGAGATATAATAATAAAAACAGTAACAGTGAACACAGATAACATCCACAAAAATATATAGGTAATAAAAACACTTTCAGTAAACACAAAGTACCAATAACTTCAAGAACAAACTTTTTCAAAAATGAAAAGCACAATAAATTTAGATCGTAGCTTATTCCTTTATATATTATCCTAATTGCAGGTAGTTAACTGCTTTCCACAAATCAGATATTTGTTTTCCCCAAAGCAAGAATCTTTCTAAAGTCATTAGAAGGATTTATGACTAAAAGAATTATGGATTATGACAGGTAGTACAAAAGGTGCCTAATATGCTTAACAGGTATTTAATTTTGGGAATTTTTAAAGCTAATACCGTTTTAAAATCACTCAACGTTATGGGCAATTGAAAACTGATCCGATTATGGATTAAGCAGGTAATAAGGCCCAATAAACACTTGACCTGTTTTGCACAGATCGAATTCAAATAAATTTTGATTATCTATGAATTGATTTCAAAACCCTTTTTATGAAAAAAAAAAATTATTTTACTATTTGCCGCCCTTTGAATTTGCCGCCCGGGACACGGGGTCAGGCTTGCCCCCTCTAGATCCGGGGCTGTAAAGCAGTTGCTTTATCAATGAAACGCAACGACCGCAGCAACGATGGCGCCATATATGCGTCTCAGATGTTAACTAAAGGTACACGTCGTTTGTAGACAGACGGTAGACGTAGACAGCAGTGGATAGTTTGTAAAAATAAATGTCAATTTCTTTTATGATTAAGAAATTGAATTTTTTAAATTTTGAGTTCATGAATGTTTTTTATTGTAAGGTGAAATAAGCGAAATGGTTGTGGTTGTTTTTGTGTGGAATTTAGGACAATAATTATATTTTGTAATATTACAATGAGTCGGAGCACGTATTGTATTGTTCTCTATTCTGTGGTATTAGTAACACATGCCACATGAATAAATTTAACAACCCCAATGTGGCGTTCTTTAATATACCAAAGTAAGATCTAGCCATGTAAGTACCACAACCAGTAGCCAACTTTTGTCACAAAGTATTTATTATTATAAATCGTTTTAGTGCAAGAAAATAGCTTCAAAACAGGTTAAAAAATATCTGAATTTCCATTATGGAGTTGCAGTCAACATTTTTAAAAATGAGACACCATTGGCCACGTATTTTGAAAATAAAAATTTTAAAGTTACCTACTAATAAAAATTAAAAAAATATTTGTTATGAATAAATTTACAATAATTGATAATAGTATTTTTATAATAAATAATTTACCGTAATTACCATTATTTAAATTTATTTACTAGATCAAGAAAGTGCATGTTTACATCCTTTATTATTAGATTTTTAAATTTCCCGCCGCGGTATTTGTTTGATATCGATCTCTGGTTACGCCTATGAAGACTAGGGATAAGGAGGCGATTCGGCTTTGGATTCGGCATACTCGACGAAATACTGTCTCAAAAAACGCACGCTAATTGTGCTTTTACAATTCACTGCAGGGCGCTGGTGTTGCTAGTGCTGTTGTTGTCTCAGAGTAAGTTATCTAAGGTTGTTGTTGTTGTTGTTTTATATGGCATATGGGAATTTTACACAATTTTGTAAAAATATTAAAAATTAACTTGTTTAATGCTAAATAGAGCACAGAAAATACTGTTTATTTATTTCTAAATAAGTCTTGCATGTCTTAATTGCTAAATTATTTAATTTTATCTTTATACAATTCAAATTAGGTAGGTATAACCAAATTCGAAATTTGTTAATTGGTGTACAATTTTGTGGCAAAATTTTTCAGAAAAGTGTAGCTCGCAAACAGCATCATCTCTAGAAAGTCCTTTATCAGTCTTAGGAATGATATGCTGCTAGTGATTTAAACGTTTAGGATCATATAAAACATTTGCAATGACAAAATTGGGGTTTAACGAAAAAAAAAAAAAAAAAAATAACAAGCAACTATTCATCTGATACTAAAACTGAAAAAAAAAACAACAAATTTTCTTTTATAATAAGTTAAATTTAATATGTAATTGTTGCTGTTTGTAAGTCAGAATTTATTACTGTCAAATTTTATATTTTATAGAAATTTGTAATAAAATAAACTACATGTTGTAAGATACGGGTTGTGACTAGTTTACAATAAATATTATATTTAGGAATACCTACATTAGGAGCTTTAGAAAGATTGAATTGATTTCTCGTGTATTCTTTAGTTTTACATCTGATTTATATCCTGTTTTACAACCTGGAACAAATTCTTGATTTTGTTTTTTTGTCAATTATGATACTTGTACTCAGGTACTTTTTTTCACATTATTTTGAATCTTATTTTTACCACTTTTTTAAAAAACACTATATGATAAAAGTTTGTCTAAAACGGAGATCAGTCATTTGAATTCAAGTGGTAATTTCAAAAAGCACACCGATATATCATTTATCTTTATGTTACATAAAAAACACGTGGATTTTCTTAATTATTTTATTACTTAAACATAAATATTTACATTTACATAAATAATTATTGCCGTTACACCCTAAAATCGACCCCTCCTTCCATTATTTCCTTTTTCAAATCTTGTATCTAACTGGTAAGACGGCTGAGCGCACCCTGTAACATTTTCTACCCCGTCACAAGAGTTTATCAACTCATTGAAGGCTTGTCCTTCTCCACAGTTATACAGCCTTGGTCTTCCTTCAATGCAGATGTAATATCTTTGACAGTCATGGGGTGATCTAAGTAGACAAAAAAGAAGTTTTTTTTAATTTTGTGTTGTTTTGGTTGTTTTGGCAACCAAACAGAATTAAATAGTAATACGATTGATACAATCGCTACTTTTGATTACAGTATAAAATCTATTGTTACGTTTTGTTACAGTATTTTGCAAGGAAAAATAGAGCTAAAAGGTTTTGGTGAAGAGAACATACCTGAAATATCTGTATTCTTCTTGGCCTAAGCCCAATCCTAAAGTTCTTGCATCTGGGGGACATGTGAATCCCAAATATGCTGAAACATTGAATATAACATGACTGCTATTAAAAATGAATTTTCGTTTAATAATATCTTTACCTTCTGCATTACAGCTGGGTACTTTATCAGGCCAATCGCACCTATAAGATTCTTCATTGAAAGCCAAACCTTCGGGACAATCGAAAATGTACCCTCTTCCGTCTACGCAGTTTTTAAATTTGCCACAGTTCTCCTGGTCGCCCATTCTATAGTAGCCGAATTGATGAGGGCACTCGTCTGTAGATTGGGCAGGTTCTAAAAATATTAAATTAAATTAACCGTTGTATTAATCAACTTTACAGTATGCTTATTATTTTACCGAAAATAAATGATAAATAAGAAAAACAAAATACATATTTATATAACAAAAAATAAATATAGTTTAAAAAAACTAAAAAACACGCTTTTAGAGCATATCAAACTAAAAAGTTAAAAATAATTTTTCAAATAAGCTTAAAACAATAATAAATGGGAAATACTAGTATTATTGTGAAAAAAGCGTCGGGCGCTCGATGTACGAGAAATATGGACAAAGATTGTAGATTCTTTAGCTATAAACTGTGACTCAGTTCTGAAACCAAGTGATACTAATAAAGTAGATAACTGGTTGAAACAAGATGCCAACGCCATGTTTATGCTGACTTCTGCAATTAATCTATCGCAGATAACATTGGTAGGAAACTGCACAACATCTAAGCAAATCATTGACAAACGACTCAATTTATCAGCAGAAGTCTGAGGTCAATAAGGTGATGGTCCATGAAAAGTTTCATCAATATAAAATGTGTCCAAGCTATTCCGTAGCTCAACATGTTTACCATCAATGGCCAGAGAAGAATAATCCAAATCAGTCATGTGAATCTTCGGTAGATGTGAACTCAAAGAAATTAGAAGAATCTGCTAGAACTAACTTCTCTTCCAGAATTGGCGGAGGACTTCAGATCGAGGATAAAAAACAACAATTTGAGGAATTGGCATTTACTAAAAATATCTGGTTGGTGTGGAAAATAGTGGGTCAAATTTCGTTTAGCCAAAATCAGTTACGTAAAAAATGTTGCCATGATAACCAGTAAACAAAAACGTGGTGAGGAAATGCATAGTTGCCAAGTTATAGATCATTTAATGTTCACTTTAGTTTAGACGAAATCAGTTATGGTGAAACTGTTGCCATGGGAACGCTTGACATAGTAACGACTAAACAAAAAACCAGTTCCTGTGGTGAGGAAATGCGTGGTTGCCAAGTTAGAGATGATTTAATTTAGCTGTAATCAGTTACGGATAAACTGTTGCCATAGAGGCACTTGTCATGGTAACGACTAAACAAAACCTAAAACCCGTAATAAGGAAATGCATAGTTGGTAAGTTACAGATAATTTAATTTTCACTTGAGTTTAGCTGAAATCGGTTACGGAGGACTCGTTGTCAAAAGAACACTTGTGATGTCGACTAAACAAAAACCTAAATCCGGTGGTGAGGAAATGCACAGTTGCATCTTATATTTATTTTAACTCTTAACATATATCCCAATTTTGAACTAAAGTAAAAATGAAACCATCTATGACTTGGCAACTAAGCATTTTCTCACTAAGGGATTTGTTTAGTCGTTAGCTTGACAAGCGTTTCCATGGCAACAGTTTCTCCATAAGATCAGGCTACGCTCCTCCCATCCACCTCCTAACAAGTACAGTGAAGAGCGAGCGAAGCGAGCGCGCCCGGCCGACGTTTTGAAATTCGCGCGTGCGAATTTCGAAACGTCGACCGGGCGCGCCCTTTTTCTACCTATATTATAAGATCACGCTACGCTCGTTCCACCCACTAACCACTACTTGGCAACTACGCATTTCCTCACGACAAGTTTTGGGGTTTTGTTTAGTCGTTGACATGACAAGCGATTCCATGGCAACATTTTCTCCATAACTGATTTCGGCTAAACTAAAGTGAATATTAAATGATCTATAACTTGCCAACTATGCATTTCCTCACTGCTGGACTTGGGTTTTTGTTTAGTCGTTAGCATGATAAGCGTTCCCATGGTAACATATTCTTCATAACTAATTTTGACTAAACTAAAATGAACTAATTGATCTAAAACTTGGCAACTACGTATTTCCTCACTACGAGATTGGGGTTTTTGTTTAGTCGGTGACATGACAAGCGTTTCCATGGCAACAGTTTTTCCATATCTGATTTCAGCTAAACCAAAGTGAACATTAAATGATCTATAACTTGGCAACTACGCATTTCCTCACTACGAGATTTGGGTTTTTGTTTAGTCGTTGACATGACAAGCGTTTGCATGGCAACAGTTTCTCCATTACTGATTTCGGATAAACTAAAGTGAACATTAAATGATCTATACCCAGACAACACACCAAATCCCAGAGATATCCACAGAATATATTTTGTGGATATCCAATATATCCACAGGATATCAGAAATATTCCGTGGAACTAATATGGATATCCAAATGTCCGTCTATATCCAGAATATAGAAGATATCCTATGGGTATTCAGCAAAATATCTAATGAGTATCTCCAGACAATACAAGAAATCCCAGATATATCCATAGAATATATTTTGTGGATATCCAACCAAATGTCCGTCTATATCCCAGGATATAGAAATTCAGATAAATATTTTATAATTATTTTTATTAGAGGTTCCTAAGTAACCAATGGTTATTGAATAACGTCGAAAGAAAATAGAGGTAAAAAATATTCCCAACAATCTGGAATCTGCCTTTGATTTTGCCTACTAAGGAGAAAATCATCCTTATTAGGAATCTTCAACAATAAATGGAACTTCGCGACTTCAGTCTCTAATGAAGTTGTTTGTGAAACAATGTCGATCAAACTCAATTACGGCGGGTTAAGCATGAGTAGATACGAAAGTGGTATCGCCATCTATACTTAGGAAGCAAAATCAAAAATTACATCTAGTAGATATCCACGATGGTTTGCGTCCGCGCTTAGACTTTGATATATTTATATTTATAGTGGATGTCCATGGGATATTGAATACACCTTAAAAAAATTAATTTTAAATATCTCAACGATACTATTAGCCACAATGGCGAGTACAATGGCGTAATTTTTTAATAATTTGCTATATAATTACAATTATTTATGGACATTTGCATGTCTATAAATTACATTTCATGGATATAAAATAGATATCCACCATGGACTGGACATTCAGTGGATATTGGGATGTTCAGTAGATATCCAAAGGATTTGGTGTGCTGTCTGGGTAACTTGGCAACTATGTATTTTCCCACCACGAGATTTGTGTTTTTGTTTACGCCCGCCGCACATGCTACCACTCGCATTGGTCGGCACGAGCCTCGTGCGAGTGTTGTAGTTTCAAACCTATGGTATTTATAACAGCACCGCATTTGCTCTCACGTGTCAGCACAGGAACGTACATGAGCGTGTACGCGCACGTGGACCGATGTGACACTTGTGGTCGAGCCACAGTTTTCGAGTGGCAGTGAAGACGAGTGGAAGGTTTGTATTCTTTTTGAGCCGCAAAACTCTTTGAAAATATTACACGACAAAGTATTTGTAGATATGGAAGAAGAATTAAATTCATTCCTAGATAGGCGAAAATAGTTTTTAAATTGTTCTTCTGAAAACTCAGAAGTCAACGCAAATTCTCCGTGAGATTTTCTGTTATTTAAATATGAACTTTTCCAAGTTTTTTTTCTTCTTGCATTTCTTATCAGTGACAATCTATATAAAAATTCGTTGTCAGCATCTGATTCGGAACTCACATCTATCGCCTCCATCGCAAATAGACAAACTGTGATAGAGAGAACTTCAGCGAAACTGCGTGAGCAAATGCGGACCAAGCAGTGTTTACTGTGCCAGTGCCACATTGGCGCCAATTTCGTGAACGAGTGCGAGTGCGACAATGTGCGGCGGGCGTTTGTCGGCAACATGACAAGCGTGCCCATGGCAACATTTTTTGCATAACTGATTTCAGAATGATATTGAACAAAAATCGCAATCATCTACAACTTGGCAATTACGCATTTCCACACCATGAGATTAGGATTTTTTTACTTATAGTCATCATAATTGTTATCATGACAACAGTTTTTGCATAACAGATTTCGGATAAACGAAAGTTGAGCCAAAATGGTACTTACGGGTTTGTTCGCGTCCAGTACAATCAACATCAATGGGATATTGGCAAGGAAAAGCGAAAACTCCAGATGCTGGGTTAAATAGAAGTCCATCGGAACAGGTTTTTTCTTCTGGAACACCGTCTTTGCATTCGATATACCTGTAAATATAAATTGAGCATAGTGGGCATGTGTGTACCAATGAACTGGAGTGGGGTAGAATGCTGGTCAATAGGCTTGAGATGCGACCCGAGAATAACAAAACGCCGAGAAGCGACAGATTTGTCGGAACGTTTGATGTTTGTGGGATCGATTTGCGGTGACCTTGAAGACACCATAATTACACTGCACGCAAGCTGAATTGGCTCACAGTAACACGATCGCGCGGAAATTTGTAATTTAGACTGCTCAACTCTAAATATGTTTTTAGAAAGGGAGTATATTTTTTATTTTGCATTTAAAATTATATGCCTTTGACTGCAAAAAGACTCATTCCGCTGCCATTTTTGGAATCATATTCATGAACTACACAATAAGATCCAACCATTTTGTTACGAAATTATCCAGAAAACACAATAAAAATCACACAGTAATAACTGAAAGAAATAATTCAAAATAGTCGAAACTACAGTTGTTGCGCTCGGATTAAAATCACAGGGCACCTTCGTATACGGTGTCGCGCTGATCTAGTTGGCAACATGCAAATAGACACCATATTTTCGATCATGCGCCTTCGAAAACCGACCCGGCGGGAAAGGGTCTTTGTCGCTTCTCGGCGTTTGGTTATTCTCGGATGCGACTCTATGGGCGAAATCAGGTTATTTTCCATCTCGGGAGTATTTATAACAACCATTTTCTATTTCACTTCTATTTCGCTTATGCAGAATTACAAGTTTAAATGAGTTATATACCTAAGATTTGTTTCAACACATCAAATTATTCAAAGCAGTTTTATTGTATCTGAAAAATGTCAGTTGGCCTTCGTATCAATCCTATTTTTTAAATATTAAAATTAAAATTGAACAATTATTTATAGTCACAATTGTATTTTATCCATAAAATAAATAATATTTCTTACCCATCGCACGTGTTCGTAGGATAGCGGCCGTCTTTTTCTGGACATGATCCACTTTGACGTGGAACTTGTGGAGAATTTCTAACATAGTTATCTTGGTAAGTATTCTGTCTATAATGTTGACTGTTTACGGTGTATGCTGAAAATAAATTATAATTATTGAGAGTTGAATTTTTAATCACTTGAAGTTTTGCGAATGGTAATGTAATTCAAGCTCAAGTTATATTTTAGCCTTGAGCTTTTCCGATTTGACAAATAACTGAATAATTTCATTTAATAGTTAGGTATGTAAGTTTACTCTTTAAATAGGAAAATGTGAGGAATTTGATATTAGTAGTGGGATATCCAAATGGCTTTCGGTAGAATCTGTTGAATTTGACATTACAGTTCACACAAGCTTCGACGGGTCCAACTCCCCATCATACGCCTAGTCTTATATACGCAAAATGGCAAATTAACAATTTTTTTAAAAAGCACCTACTTTAATTGCACATATTTTTTAAGAATAATGCTTTGCTGATTACAAACAACATTTGTTTAAATTATTATTAATTAAAGGACAAATCACAAAGTACTGAAGGTGGGTTTTAAATTTTTATACTGGGTAATAATTTGTAGTAATCTCATTGGCACCCGGTATATAGCGGGGGGAAGAAGTTGAAAAGGCTTTTGGTAGGTAGAGAGGTAGTAAATGTTAGATAACGAGTTGTTACTATTATTTTTTTTGTAGAAACCCCAATTGTGTCATTGTAAAGGTTTTTTATAGGATACTAAACGCTTAGAAAAGTGGGAGCATATATATCGTTCCTAGTGTCGATAAAGCACTTTCTAGAGATGATACTGTAATATACTTTTTAGAAGATATTATCAAATATTATGAGACTATTTTTACTGATGGTACGGTTAGCAAAATAAAATGGGGAAAGCTCAAATTAAAGGATATACATTACCAAATCTCCCGTTATACTTGTATTACAACAATAAAAAAATCTGTTAACTGTGTTATATTTTGCTCTTAAAACTATATATAGGTTCAGTTCAAAAAAAATGTTGCCACAAAATTGTACATATCAAATTTCAGCCTTTTTTAACAAACCTTTTCGAATTTGGTCATACCTACCTAATTTGTATTTTATATAAATAAAATTAAATAATTTATTAATTAAAACATGCAAGACTTATTTAGAAATAAATAAACAGTATGTTTTGGGCTTTATTTTGCTATAAACAAGTTTATTTTTATTATTTTGACAAAACTATGTATAATTCCCATAAGAAGCCATGTATTTTGAATACCGTATGCAGTACTAGCGCCCATGCGGTTAATTATAACAGCTCAATTAGCGTACGTTTCTTGGGACCGTATTTTGAGTAAGCCGATTCGCCTCCTTATCTCTAGTCTTCATAGTAAAAACCTATGCTCTAATGGCGACCAATTTTTAAAGGTTCTGAGTACGGTATGTGTACATAGTGTAAATAATTAATAAATATAGTGTGGTGTTCTTCATGTAAAATAAACAGTGTTAAATGCAGGTGTGCTTGTTTCTTTCTATCATCGAATGTTAATCCAAAGCAGGCATCTTACAAACATGGAATGCTTCAGAATTATAGCATAATGGAGTCTGTAAAGGGTAAGATTCTTACAGGCCTCATCACAATTTACAATCTAAGAACAGGAGAACTAAATATTCTATAAACAAAATGGATACGAATAGATTTTTTGTATTTTAGGGGAGTAAAAATGGTCTTCATAAATTGGGTAATAGATTCTTAGAGTTGCTAGGGATATTTTAGTCAAAAATGTGCAAATTAAAAGAAGAACAGAGATATATCGAAACTTAATACTGAAATCCGACAACCGGGGGTTGATAATTAATTTAAATAATTCTTATATATTACATATTATATTCAAATTTTTATTTCGAATTCAAACAACATCCCAGCGTATCCCGCCTCGTAGGCGCCATTTAATTACGCGTAAACTCTAACGGTCGCTAGAACAAAACAGATGTAAGACGTAAGGGCTATATTCAGGAATTAATACAGAGCTTTATAGTCTTTATACACCAAAGTCACAGTCGTTCTCTGTCTGATACATTTACATATATGGGAAATTTAAGTATAAATACCGGGGTTTTTGAGGGCTGTGGGATTAGCTTTTTCTTCTTCACCGAGTCTAGTTAACAAAAAACGCAAATATCCACGTTACTGCCACGGTGACTCTTTTTTCTTTATATTCTTCTAATATAATTAACAAGAGATATCGCGGTGGCCGCGCTTTTGTTATATTTTGACAACGGAAATAAAAGGTATCGACGGAGTAGAGAAATTAGTTTCTATAAACGACGGCTTCTGCATAGATATCCAGTTGTCCTTAGGATGACCACCTTTTTCTTATATTTTTTATATAAGTAAAAGGAGATATATAGTCAGGTTGACCACCTTTTTCTTATATTTTTTATATAAGTAAAAGGAGATATACAGTCAGGTTGACCAGGCAGATACACGTTGAATAGAACCAGATTTCGCTCCTAGAACTGTTTTGTAAGGTTGTATCTACCGAGCGACTAAAATATTGGCGTAACTGATACTGGTGATACCACGCTGGTCTAGTTAAACGCCAGATATTTTGTATCTCCGATTCAACATTATAAAATGTTACTAAATGATTAAAAGTACTACTCTAGACGAACTTACGCCCGGTAGACCTTTTATCAGCGGTATACTTTTTTTCTGTAAGGTTTTTTTTTCGTAGAATTCAAACGATAATGGCACTATTAAAGTAATCAAACTAGTATTTAATATTCAGATATTCCGGGGGAGAATTTAGACAAACATTAATAGGTTACAGGTATCACTTTATTACTTTTATATTCATTAGCGGGAAAATTATAGGGTTTTTATATTGTGCTAAATTATATTATTTAGAGAATCGATAGTAATGTTGTTGTCATAAATATTAATTGTTGTAAAGTCGGTCAACACTCTCAAGTAATAAATTAAGTCATTTAGATTTATGGCCAAAGGGCCGAATTGTAAAGTTTTGGGTTGTCTGTAAACAGTACCTGCCCTTTTCCGTAAAGAAGAAACGCACTTTCGGTTTTATTTTTAAATGGCAAACAGATGTAGATTAGTAGGGTAAATGCCTTGATTTGTATATATTTTAAAGTTAGACTGCGGTTAAAAAAATATGTTTTCTGTCGTTCTTTGTAAAACAAAATTGGGTAGACAAATGTGTCATTTTAGCCGTAAAGGGTGTTAGTTTTTAACCGACTTCAAAAAAAGGAGGAGGTTATCAATTCGTCGCGATATTTTTTTTTTATGTATGTTCAGCGATTATTCTTTAACACGGTGTCCGATTTCAATGATTCTTTTTTTGTTAGAAAGGGGGTATTTCAGGGGTGGTCCCATATAAATTTAGTCAAAATCTAATAATTGGGCCCATGAGAAAATCCTCAAACTCTTCATTTTTTATGTATGTTCAGCGATAATTTTTTAACACGGTGTCCGATTTCAATAATTCTTTTTTGTTAGAAAGAGGCTACTGTAGGGGTGGTCCAATATAAATTTTGTCAAAATATAATAATTGGATCCATGAGAAAATCCTCAAACTCTTCATTTTTTATGTATGTTTAGCGATAATGCTTTACCACCTTGTCCGATTTATACGATTCTTTTTTTGTTAGCAAGGGGGTACCTCAGGGGTGGTCCCATATAAATTTGGTTAAGATGTGGCATCTGCACGTTTTTGAAGTCGGTTTTTTTAAATTTTTAATTTGTAATACTTGTGTGTATCGATTTTTCGGGAAAAAGGAGATATGTACAGCGGCGGGTAGAATCATGAATATTGAGGAGGGTCGTATTTATTTGTACATATCTACATATCTTTAGCAGGACATTACGCGGAAGTAGTCGGTATGTTTGTTATTTATTTAGAATAAATAGGTGAAATTGTGTTTGTGGACTAGCTAACGTGGTGGGGTTGGTTGTAGCTTGGCCATTGCTTTGTAGTTTAGATTGCTTGCTTGCACACTCGCTTAACACGCCTGCTTTGTAGGTAGGTAACTTTTCTATAGGACGATGGTGAACTGCAACCATCGAGTGCCTGCCTCCTCGTGGCACCACTGGATAAGGCCAATAGCGATGCTTCAAGAAGCACCACTATTGACTAACCAAATGGCATTCCATCAAAGCCCAACGCCACGGTGTAAGGTAACGTGCCTAAGGATGAATGGCCGCAGGGCTTAATATGCGGTTGCGAACGTTCCCTTGGGGGAACCGGGCGAAACCCCCAAGTATCTAGCCTTGACTCTGTACGGGGGGCACTGCAGAGTTGGACTAACCCCTTCCCCCATACTCGTGGGAACAAATGAGTGAAAATAATTTAGAAAAAATGGACACCCAAGGAGAAGAGTCGGATACAGACGACTCAGGCTCCTTGAACATGATTGTCGGAGAGATTGCGTTAGCTTTGGACTCCGACAACTCAAGGGAAGGAGGAACTGCGAAAGCAGAGGACTCTAACCCCTTAGCGGGAGGAGGATCTGTGAAAACAGACGACTGCTCCCAAACAAAAGAAAAGGTCAAAAAAGCAGAGGTTAAGCCTGCTGATAGACCGAAAAAACCTTCAGGAGCGGAGAGAAAGAAGCTTCTGAAGGAAAGAAAAATGGCTGCAGGAACGTGGACGGAGAAAATCCCCACAATAATGCAGCCCAAAAACGAACCCAACGGAGGGAGGACCAAACGAAGAAAGGGGACAAAAGGCCCCGATCTGAGTCGCAGACTCCCCCCACTCGAAGTGGAACTAAGCGGGCCAGAAATGCTCCGGCATCGGCTGGCTCGTACAGCGACACTTTGAGGGGTATCCAACTGGCTGTCATCCAGAGAAGGCATCCAGATACAACTCTAGACCAAGAACAAGGAGACTTGGTACAAGAAACTCTTGTGGAAAGGCTCTACGCTACCCCTTCAGGCACCACAGTTCCACAAAACATTGTTTAGCGCAGGGGTCATTTGGATGACCTGCGCTAACCGGCAGACCGCGGACTGGTTAAGGAGGACGGTCAGCACTCTGGGAAAGCTTTGGGAGGGTGCGGATTTGACCGTGGTTGAATCTAAGGACCTCCCGAGAAGACCCAG